CTGCATACAAAAAATCATTACTTGGGAAAGATAATGAGGCATATACATAACCAGAAGATTGCAGTGGCTGGCCTGTTATCGATACACATGTGTTGGATGTGCTTCTGAGAGAAGGTGGGGGACTTTTTGAGTGTGCTGAAGCCTGAACAAGGTGTGCAAATACTTGTGAACTAATAATAGACTTCATTGACCCTGTGTCAATGAGAGCAGGCACTTGCACACCACCAAGTAAACAAAATACAAGGGGTTGGTGAGGAGCTGAAACTTTGTCAGAAGCAGATCAAACACAAAAAATAGAGGGGTGCTCGTCGTTCCAACCCATTAACGAGGCACCCCCTGGAAGTTTAAAGATGATGAAAAAGACTTACGGAACGACTGCTGTTGTGGTACGACATTATTAACGCTATGGAATATATTTGGAGTCCGATTATTCGCACATTCTCTTGATAAATGTCCCTGTCCACCGCAGAAGGAGCAGGAAAGGTTATTATTAGGCCAGTTTTGTCCTCTTCTTCTTGAGTGCTGCATCCCCATTGTACCATGTCGGTGTGGGCAATTTCTGGCAATATGACCCAATTGCTGGCAATTAAAGCAAACGATTCTGTCCATCGCAGCAGGTTTAGGAAAGGAAGAGCTTGATGTTGCAAGGGCAGCAACTAAACTGGCTTGTCCTTCAATTAGGCCATCCACTTTGGCTGTTAGGGCTTGAATTTCTTCACTATGGTCGTGGTAGTCAGAACGAGGCGACGCTTCTTCAGGGAAACGAGGATTGTTATGTGGAGGCGCATGGGCTGGCAAATTAGCACATGTAGTGAGGTCACCGCCCCTGCCAGGCAAAGCCCGGAGGGCACGAATGCGTTGGGCGAATTTCAGCATGGTATCAGGGTCGGGCGTGGGCTCTGATTCCAAAAGCTTAAGTTGAAGATCCGATGGCAAAGCTTTCATAAATTGGCGGCGTAGTAAAGCATCGAAGGCTGTATCAGACAAACCTGGTTCCGCCTTGCGAAGGGTATCCTTCAGCCGCCATAAGAATAGTGTTGGGTCTTCGGATGGGCGGAGTGTCATTTCGTCAAACAGGCGATAATGGCGCTCCCTATCAGTAATCGGTGAAAAACAGGCTTGTAAATTCTCCGTCAAATGAGCAATTGTATCTTTGCTAGTGGCAGGAAGCGCTTCATAATAGGCAGCGGCGGGGCCTTGAAGAAAGGCAGGCAATTTCGTAAGGCGTGTTTCATCATTCCATGAGTTTGCCAAAGCACACCGTTCAAAATGTTGAAGCCACAGAGCGAAATCGCCATCCGTAAATCGTTCGGGTAATATACTCTGAGCCATCGCTAAACTAAACAAAATCCTGTCACCAAATTTGTAGCGAGGAAGACAAATACAAGTTCATATGTTCATATGTTCATATTCAATCCAACAACTGATCTTTACAATCTAGATCTAATCATTCTATACAACATCACAGTTTGTTAATCAACACATCAAGACAGAACAACAGACATACTGTACAAACAACAGAGTACAAAGATTCAGATAGAGACGATGACATTATTAAATTACATACAATAACAATCAGTTCCGGGAAGCACATGCTACAGTCTAGATGCTTTTCACAGACAGCAACTGAAACAGCTAATAGGAAAAAAGTATCTTAACAAGATCTCCAATCAGAACTTGTACAAACGATGCGAAGAAGGACCAATTTCAATTGACATCCTCAAGGGTAGATGGCGGCTGTTTGGTCACATATTACGTTTGTCCGAAGATACACCGGCTGTGAAGGCAATGAGATTTTACTTTGAGGGATCGGAGAGGGGATTCAGAGGCAGACCTAGAATACCTTAAATAAAGATATCACCAGAGCAAGAGCAATGGAAAGGTCTTTTCCACTACCGAACATAAAGAACAATGGAGATTTTGAAAAGATACGATCCACAGCAAGGGACCGCAAAGAATGGAGAAGATTATCAGAAGTAGTGTGCAGAGCTGCAGAAGCAGAAACAACATGAAACCTTCATGTCGGGACTGCGTAACTACAATTATATATGGAAGTGTCTGTGTCTTGAAATCCAGCAGGCCTTTCACAGTCAGTTTCAGGTGTGTCTGTTGATAATGTCAACCCGTCATATGAAAGCCAGGAGCATCCTGCATCTTCCCCTTCGTGTTTAAAAGTGATTCCTCCTCCTGAGTGTTCATCTTTGCCTGCTCAGGGCCCTAGCATGGTTTCGGATAACCCAACCTCCTCAGTAGCTGTTGAGCCTATTAATATGATGCCTCAGTCTGCAGCTAACACACCTGTTGCATGCTCTGTGTCTACCGCTGTGCAGCCAGTGCCAGAAATAAGAGAGGGAAATAGCACGATTGCTTCAAAAAATTCTCTCCCCTGTTTTGGTGAATGCACAATGGCACACTGTTGTTATGCTCATAGTGTTTGTTCTGTTTGTTGTGGCGCCCACAAAAAGAAAACCTGTCAAACACAGGTTCAATGTCTTCCCCCAGCGGCATCTGAATCTATATTTTGTGGGCCAGTACCTCCGCTTTGGTTTCAATATCAGTTCTTCTGATGTTGTACTCAAATCAGCAGTTAGAAATTGCCTGAGTGCATCTAAACAACCACATATAATCACTAATTATCTAAAAAAAGAAACAGACTTTGGTACTATGTTAGGCCCGCTAGATGTGCCTCCTTATTCATCACAGATTTATCTTTTCCACACCACTGTAGTGTTAAAGAGCCTTTGCTGACATTCATGCTTTGCGCGCCCGCAAAACGTTTCGAGAATGGCAATGGCGACGAACGTCTACGGATCACCAATTGCTGTTCACGAAGAAATTGATAATTCGTTTAATGACAGGGAAGGAGACAGCGACCTTGAGGTAAGCTGACCTTTTTAGTAAATTATGCCTACTTTCTTACTTATCTGTAGCTGTTGCCTTATTTCCTACCGGCCCCCTCTTTATGTTGTTAGGCCCAGAGAGAGCACCAAGATCATGACTTAAGTTCATGAACTGTGACGAATATTTCTTTAGAAAACAATATCAAGCTCCGCTTTATACCATTTTTGTACCTTTTTGGCCTTTTTTTTAACAGAGGCCTACTTGTGTATGTAACACCACTTGTGCCAGGAGGTCTGGGAAACGCCGTGGATGTCCGTGTAAAGATTCGAATTTGGCATGCACTGACGCATGTGCTTGTGGGAGGAAGAAACGTGGAACAGTCATAGAGTGGTGCTCCAATGGCAAAGTAAACAGCATACATTTATTCACATTCAATTAAAATAAATTAAGTCATAGACATAAGACTGGGGGCAGACATAATACGTGCCCTGCACACACTTTTCGAAAATTCAAGTAAAATGCCCCTTTGTTGCTAACATATTTCCCTTTTTGCCAACTAAATAACAAAAATATCTTGAAGTAACCATGTTTTATATAAAATGGACAAAGTGAGCAGTGGGTGGGTAACCTTTTGGAGTCATGATCTGAAATTTTAACAGGCTGTAATGAATTGTAAGTAATGAATTCGTTTTAAGAATGATACAATCAGTATAGTACAACATTATCAATAATTGCAAGAAATGATTTTTAAGAAATATTCTGAAATGTATTTTAAGCTAATATAAAGGGCTTGTTTGAAAAACTTTCTTGTTATTCCATTTAGCCCCATGGCCTCTGAAACTGTTTGGCAGGACTGCTCACAACTAGGTCAGAAACTAACATCTACATCACTAATCACATCTAAATCATCTATGTCCTAAAACAGCCCTTTTAAACCTCTCTGACTTTTTTAAAAAATGTTTTAGGGTGCCCCTTAAACATGTACCTCCCCATTTTTTATAATCCTTCTTATAATCTCAACCTAGAACTTAAACATTTGACCCCTGCAGTGCCTATTTAGGATTTGCAGGAAGACCATTTTCTGTCACATGTCAAACTTTTCACTTTGGAATCTTCCATCTGGAAATACAATATTATAAATTATGTCCAAATCTGTTGAATATTTTCATTTCAGCCAGGATCTGTTGACCAAATTGAGCAGGCAGCTGAAGTACAAGATGGGCATATAAATATGGAATAAGAAATAATTCAAGCAAAACAAAGAGTCCAGGTATTGTTTTCTCCGCTATTATTCAACCCATTGAGGGAACTCCTCCTTAAGAAATTCCACTCCAAACATATTTAGTGTTACTGTATTAATTTGTGCTAACCTTGTTGTTAAAATTTTATTAAATGTCGTTTATTTAATAAATTTTTGTATGTTGTAGAATTTTGAAAATGAAAACTGAACTAAAATTAAAACAAAACTTTACTGAAATTATCAATGACAAGAATAACTTTCATTTTTCAGAATGTAATAGAGTGTAACCTTCTGATTTTTCAGAATGTAACCTTCCAATTGAGACACTGCACAATTTGATAGTAGAGCTTGCTGTGACTGGAGAAGGGAGCTTTGAATTTGTGCAGGATTTGGTGCATGTGATTCAAAGTCCAAATCCCGAAGCTAACAGACCAATGGCCCTACCCTGGTGTAAATGTGGTGTATGCACTGAAATGGGAAAGGAAGAAGAAAACAAATGTTGCAAGAGGACAATATGTGTCACCTCATATTATATGTTTAAGAAGCTGTGTCTGGACAGGGATGTTCTTAAGCTGAACATAACTGCAAGATGTGATCTTAGGGCAGATCATATGACAGTTACAATGAATTCATTTAGAAAGGCTGCCTATAAACAGTTTGCCCGCTGGAAGTATGGTCGCTTGGGAAGTGGAAATCGGCGAATTTTACCAGCCTGTGTTGTTACTGTAATCCGTAACATGTATCCATCACCAACTGATGAATATATGGGGTTTAAAGCACACTAAATGAGAAATTGTTTAGCTTTAAATTAAGAAAAGATTACTGATACGGTTTCTAATTGGCAGTAAGATTCTGCTTATCTGTATCAGGATAAAAAAATTGTTGATCATATATACAAAAGATATGAAGTTCAATAATGTCATTTTTTCTTTTTAATCCTTTTTAATTTTTCTGCAACTAATTGGCTTGTAGGTGGTGGCTTGGTTACTAAGTCTAAAGTTGGGGATATCAGTTTAGGGTCATTTGGAACTCTGACAAGCCTTTCCATTGCTGTGTCTTTCTTTTCTTTTCTTTCAACAACAATTTTTGCAAGACAGTATGGAATATAGCTGTAGCTTTTCTGTTCCTTAACAGGTTCAGCAGTAAATTTCCTGGAATTTTTATTATATTTTCTTTTAAAACACTGTTTACCATCTTTTGTAATAGCTAAAGGTCGATTTAAATGTATATTATGGTCAATAGCAGCCAAAGCCATCCGTGTCTTGAAATATGGATAGTCATATGCATTTCTTTTAGATGCATACTTCAACAGCATACTGTTAAAATTTTCTATCATGCCTGTATGCCTGAATTTTGAATAGTATGATAGGTTTGACAAAAGCTTTCTGTCAAGTACCACTGATCTGAGCTTTTCCAAAGCAACAGAATTCTTTAACAGGTACACCTTTGGCTCAGTTGACGAGAGAGGGCCATGCAGACATTCAGATTCCGCCCATATGTGTTCATTGCATACATGATGCAAAACACCAATCCAAATATCTTTCAGCTTTTCAGCATCACCATTTGAAACCTGACAAGCAAACCAAAAGTGGTTGACTATTGCAGCAATCCATGGTTTGAGTGATCTTGCAGCTTTGTCTTGTGCTGTTTTGTGCAATTTCTTAGAAATATTTTTGGCAGCATGCCAAATATCAAGGCAGTGATTTAACTTTGACAGTTCAGGGTGTGAATCTGAAATGAAAAGATTAATTATGAATTCTTAAGTCCAAAATGCACATGGCAAGTGAGCATTCAATTGTTAATATAGAAAGAGTAAAAATATTAACAATTGCAATAACAAACTATGGAGAAAACCGGCTGATACAGCAGAAGGAATATCATAGATCTGGATATTAGCTTAAACTATTGTATCAACCAAAAAACATGTGAAAGGCTTTCTTTGATGGTTCATTGGCAAAAACTATGAGTTTTTTCAAATATAATGTATCTACTTAAATCAGTTGAACCTGCCCCAAAACTAAAACCTGAATGGGTAAAAAATATTGCATAACATTATTAGATAACATGGGAAAATATAAGCATGTACTTTTAAGCTCTTGAATACTCTTCATTATTGAAGTTGAGGCATCAGTGGTAATCTCTGAAATATCCAAGCATTTCATAAGAAGCAGCAATGTACGGGTGAGACCTTCTCTTTCCATATTTGTTGATATGCCACCAGTCTCTCTCTTGTCCAAAACTTCTAAATGGAGAACTGCATTGGTTATCAACTCCATGGTGACATATACACAAAATCGTGCACAGAAGCCAGGTGAATCATTCCTTCCATCTCCTCCAAGAATGTGATCATTATATGTTTTTATCACAGTAATGATGCTTGATTTCATTGAGTCCCACATTTGTAGAATTACAGGTGTGAAAAACAATCTCTGATTTCTGTAAAAGACAGATTGATCTGGGATTGCAAGCCCAAGAAACTTACAAAACCTTGCAAATTTTGAGTAATTGTTTCCAGACAATAATACGCAGGCAGTGACCAACAGATCATTCAAGTAAATGTCTGCATAGTGAGATTTTGAAACTATCTCAGAGGAAACCCACATTCCAAAGTGCTCATTTTTGCATGACCAGCGAAGTTTTACTGTACAGCCTTTCACATCACTTTCAAAATTCAAAACTTCATTGCATAGTTGACCATTGTTCAGTTTTTGCATGCAAAACTTCCCTTTCAACTCTTGTAGCTTCTTAAGTGACACTAAAACTCTATTTTGGTTTGCAAGCTTATATTCTGCATCTTCAATATTTTTTTGATACAGATCTTCCATTGTTTTGTGTACTTTTGCTTTCATTTCTTTTGAATTCACCTCTGATGATGCATATATTGCACCAGGTTGTCTATCTATAGTGGTCTCCAGTTCCATCGACTTTTCACATTGCTCATTTTCAACAAAGTATGTTCTAGTCAAATCTAGATCTGTCACTAAAGAAACAAGGTTGGCTCTGGAATCTTCTTTGGCATTTTCAGTCATATGCATTGATATTTCATCAATTTGATCTTGTGTCAAGCCATCATCATCCGAACTTGACAAAGAATCATAAACATCATCATCATCATCATCATCAGTGCTTATATATGCGCTACTTGAATCTGAGACATCAGAATCAATGTCTGACTCAGAATTGTAGCTTTCTTCTACAAAGGGGTTCCCAGAAATTTGCCCTAGTTGTTTGTTCATGCTGATATGCCTCATACTGTTGATATCTGAGTTAACAGTGCTGCCAAAAATTGTTTCAGATGCTTCTGATCTTTCTGATTCCTGCTCTTGTTCTACTTCAATTGCACTAAATTCCAATTTTTGTCTCTTTTTATTTTGGTAGGCAACTGGTGTTGATTCTTTTTGTGTTTCTGCAACAAAATAAACATGAATATATAATAAATGCATACTATTTGAAAGGTTCTGAATACCAGGGGTTGGTTTTTCACCTAAAATAAAAAATGTTGGAAATATAGAAAACATCAAAAAACTAAAATAGGGTTTGCAATGGTATTAAAACCAACACTTCCTAAGATCATTATTTATGATCAAAACATGGGAATTCAGCATGTCTGAGTTTTGAACCTTTCATCAAAATTCCTTTCCTTTCATGAGTTTTTATTTCTTTTATTCCCTACCTCACTAGGTCAATAACACTTGTAGTGTGGTGTGTCTAAGTACTAAGTTTACTAATCAAGATGATATCCTTGTCCAGAGATGTGGACCCTGCAGTCTTGTAGATATTTTCATATCTTCTGCCAACTGAACATAAAGTTATAGTTTTAAAATGAGAAAATAAAATTGACAAAATGCTCACCAATGCAGACAGCTGCTGTACATGATGGTGGAGAAGTGACAGGAAGTTCAGCAGATGGCAAACATGTTGTAACACTTGCATTGGATGATGCACCACTATGGCTATCAAGATTGTTTTGGCTAGAAAATGTACAAAATGTGTCTTAGTTGATCCATTACATTGCGGTTTTAAATAATAGCAAAACATTAACTCATCAATCAGGTAAAACTGCAACTACTTTCAAAAAACCTCTTTCAAATAGATAACTATAGGGACCTAATACTAATGCCAATACTAACAATGCCCTCGAAAAATAAGCCATTGCCCTGTGCGATGGTCTCTTGATTAGGTTCAGATCCCCTCTTGTTTGTTTATCTCGAGGACAGTTTTGAAAAAGGTAAGATGACAGGTAAAAGTAAGACAGTTAAAAATTCTTCCTTCTCGTATTATAAACCTTTACCTCTAAATATGGCAAATAAGGCAGTTCTGTGAGATGGGGAGGTATGTCAAAACGTACTTACCTGCTTTTCTGACCCTCTTTTGGCCTCATAATTCCCTGGTCGAAATAATTATGCTCCTGTACAAAAAAATCCGCTTTGGAATGTGTCTGCTTCACCGCCAACTGGTTTAACAGAAAAAGCGCAAATTCGTTATTGGTCATCACAGGATCATCGCCAGATACTTCTTTCTTGTGTTCATTCCAAAGTTTCAGCGTAGATTCGAAAAGATATACATGTTTTCTGGCTTCTTGGCGCCGTGGCCGTCCTAAATTTTGCGTTGCCATGTTCAGACAAAAAAACGATTTCTGACACCCAGAAAGTCTGCGAAGAATTGCATCACGGGATGGAAACGAGCGCAAAGGACATATGTCAGCAAAGGCTCTTTAACGACTTGATACCTGACTCGCAAGCAGAGGTCTCATATACAGGTATTCCAGAGGCAATTGAATAATGCCACTGGGAAAAGGAGCACTGTTTGCACATGAAGTGAAGACGGAAGTGAAGATGGCTCATGGAGGTCTGGGTACTAATTGAGTTTAGGCACCCTACTTCGCCGGCTCAATTTAAGTTACAAATGAGGAAGACGACTCAGAATAGCCGCAAAAATTGATTTATATCAAAAATGGAGGAGGAAATGTTAGTTCTCACGAGATCGATGATGACGAATTCCTTGTTTTTCATGAGGCAAATAGACACGGAAACCTGCATGTTGGACTTCAATATTGGAAATATGAACGTTTTAATCTGGATGGGATGCGAGAGGATGAGTGTGAGGTCGAGTTTCAGTTTAGGAAACAAGACATAGCTAGGCTCTGCATTATACCTGCCAGATTTTTTTAAGTGCTCATAGACTATGAACGGGCTTTCATCAAATGTCTGGAGCATAGGATTATATCTCTAGAAAGCAGCTAGATGACAAACAAACCATCATAAATAAATTGCTAGCTGAGAGGGGATCATCAAATTTAACCAGCACCTCCAAACAAAGAAATTAATGGCTTGCCAAAACTACGGCAAAGTACAGTCTATGTGTAAACTACAAGTAGCTCAGAACAGCAAAATAAAAAGAAACCGAGAAGCAAACCTGCAGGTGAGAAGTAAAAGACAGAAACGTCAAGTGTAATAAGTAACAAAGACCAGGAAAAACTCAATTTGTTAAGAAGAATATAAGAAAGCGAGTCTTTATCATAAGCAACTCAATCCTGCAGTTGTTGGAGGGCGCTGTTGTACACGCTGCTCTAAAAACTGTGATAGCGAGGATATAGAGCTCACCCAGAACACTCCCGTCTTTGCCACATTCATCGCAGGCTCCATGCTAGATGAGAGAGTGACAGAGATGATGAACGTTTGTTGACGAATATTAAAATTCAAACATCAGTTTGATGAACGGGTGCAAAAATGTGTTCCTGCCTGTGGTCATTGTTTTGCCGAAATGATCTTGTGACATTAGGCATCAGCAGCAATTGTCAATCACAATAGGCATTATTTGATACAAAAGGCTTCTTTGGCAGGGGCAAGGCTTCGCAAGGCTTCCCTGCTGATGCAAAACATGGCACAGCTGTTAATTTTAGTGTTAACTGTGGCTGTTTTTTTTATCTCATTCATTATTTAAGAGACTTTTTCGCTCGCAAGCTCCTCAAGAAGGTGTCTAATTTAATCTACCCAAAAATCTACGTTTGGCCTGAATTTATTGCCTAAAAATGAAAAGATTTGCAAAAACTCACGGTTAACACTTGAAAATGGAATAGTCTTGGATCATATCAAATTCAATTTTCAAGAAAAGTATAGACTGTGGACTGTCTCTCAATTTTCTCCTTTCGCATGTACGAAATCCAAGTCAAAGTTTATACAGCATTTGAAACATACATTGCACACCTCTTGGCAAAATCTGCATTGTTTTTTCTCGTTAACACAACTTTTGCAGGCATTTTAAAAATCGTTAACCGTGACTGTTAAAGTGCCCCTTCACCTTGGAGGGAGTTTATGAAAAGAAAAGACCAAGGCTGCGGTCACACTATACTTGTAAAAGCATCCTTTTTGTTAATCCGTATTTGCTCTTAAATCATGCCAACCGGTCAAATATGATTTTTACAAGGATGCTTGATCAAATGCAAATTGATAACACGCAGTGTTTGTTGAAAGTTTGCTAATTTTTCGTCACGTGTTTGCAGATTGCTAACACGCACAGTACATTTCCCGCCAATGCCCCTCTAGCAATGCTTCTGTGTTCGCGCCAATTTGAAATGTTTCTTTATTCGTTATCATGATGGAGTTCGAATCTTCTATCTTGTTCTTCGCCATGGTTTATCGATTTATTGCATATTCAAGAGCATCAGCTATTAGAAAGAAACAGATCATGGCAAAGCGAGCTTTTCTTTTGGCCAGAGCACGAAGAAACCGTTTCCTTTTATCAACGAACAGCTGTCATGCTTTTTGGGTTTTAAAAGAAGCAAATTTGCTTCGAACAGCAAAGCGGGTTTGGTCTATTGAAAAGCCTCAGCAATGGTTCGATAGACTATGGGATAATGAAGAGTTTGATACCCTCGATGACTATTGGAAACAAGAGTTCAGATTTTCTAAGCGTTCATTCAATGATATTTTGAAAATTGTTGCTGGCGATATGGAAAAAATCGACACTAAGTTTAGAAAGGCGATTCCGATCCAAAAACGTGTAGCCATTGCGCTATGGAGACTTTCGACAGGAAACAGTTTTAGATCAACTGCTGCTGTTTTTGGTGATGGGAACTCTAGGGCAGTCGATATAACCAAACAATTTTGCAAATTTATTGCGAAACGATCAAGCAATTTTATAAAGTTTCCAAGAAATGAGAGAGAAACTTCTATAGCTTGGGAAAAATTTTCAGAGATTTGTAAAATCCCCCAAGTTATAGGAGCCATTGACGCCACACATTCGCCTATTGACTACTTTTGCAGAGAGCAAAAGTTCACAATAAATACGCAAGCTGTAGTGGATGGAAAATTGAAATTTATAGATATATCAACTGGTTTTCCAGGCAGTATTCACGATGCAAGGGTTTTACGTGAAAATTCAATTTATCATACAGCTGAAAGGGGCGATATTTTGAATAATCCACTCGCATACATAGAGAACCAGCCAGTTAAACCGTTCATTATTGGCGATGGGGCATATCCACTGAGCAGTTGGCTTTTAAAACCGTACCCTGACAATGGAGCATTGACCAGATCGGAAATAAAATACAACAAAACTCTTTCTTCTGCCAGATCTGTTGTGGAGAGAGCGTTTGGGGTTTTGAAAGCGCGTTGGAGATGCCTATTAAAAATGCTTGATAATAAAACCAGCAACGTTGTAGAGGTTCTAATAACTTGTTGTGTCCTTCACAATATATGTGAAGATAACGGAGATGAAGTGGAAGACGAAGAATTTATTGCGCGTGTTATTGAACGCGAACAACAAGGCATGGTAGCAATTAACGAAGATGCTGCTGAAAACAATGGTGCAAATCTTCGGACATTGATAAAAAACTTTCTAAGAAACAACTGAATTCAAAAGAACTATATCTAAGGGAGCAGTCATAAATTATTGCAGGGACCGGGGTGGAAGCAAATGAGGAGGTATCTGAAAATTTCTAATATAATTTTTTGGGGTCTGAAATTTTAAGAAGGCTTCAGGCAGGGGTCTGAAAATAAACAAACTAAATTTTTATTTCTTTGGAAATATTTTTTAAAATATTAGGGGGCAATTGCACCCCTTACCTCCCATGTGTTTGCCACTGGTAGATTCCAGCTTGACTATCTATCAGTTTCTCTTGAAGAAGTTTGTAGATGTAGTTTTATTATTCATTAGCTTATTCATCAGCTTAAAATTATGCTTTTATGATGTAGTATTGTTACTATTACCAGTAAAGTTTTTTCCGTCAGGGGTCAGAAAGGTTTTGGCAAAAATTAGATGGGGCTTGATATTTTCAAGACCAGGATGCAGGGGTCTAAATTTTTTTGCTAATATCATCAAAATGCTTCCAACCCCTCCCTGCTTTTAATAACGACTGCTCCCTAACATAAATATAATCATGAAAATTAAGTATAAGTTTAAATATATGGCAATGTAGTAAACATTACTTTTTAGCCAAAAGAGTTGCCAACTGCATAAAAAATTCTATCTCGTTCCTTTTCTCCAATCGCTGCTTTTCTCTGCTGTTCTTCCAGCTGCATCAAAAACTCTCTATTCCTCTGATCTGATTCCCTCAATGCCTCCATCTGCCTTTCTTGCATCTCCAGAAACTTATTTTTGAAGTTCTCTTTGACTTTTTTTGCTTTTTTCCCACTTTTTCTGGTAGAGCTCATTCCTTTTTTCCTCTTTTTGTTACCATTGCTATCAGCATCATCATCTTCATCCTCATCGTGAACATCATCATCATCATAATCATCATCATGTCTATCGCCATATCCATTGTCTTCTTTATTACCCTCCTCTTCCAATTCCACAGCCTCTACCCCTTTTTCTACCACACTTCTATCTTCACAAGAGTTATCCTCCTCGACAGCTACCCCAACTTCTCTTACCAAATCCAATTCAACGATTGGCCTGCATGACAAAACTTCATCAAAATCCTCAAAGAATGGAGGAAAATCTGGAGCAGCGCCACTCTTTCTATTGTTCTCCTTTGCTTTTTTGTAGCCGTCTTTTAAATTTGAAAGTTTTTTCTTGGCTTGCTCGACAGTTTTTTTCGGTCCATTTTTATTTACATTATTTATAATTTTTAACCATGCCTGTCTATTGCGACTGCTTTCCAGCTCTGTGACATTATCCTTCCACTCTTTGATAAGGCTTCTTGTTTCCTTCTCGGACCAGCGACAATTTTTAACTTCTTTCTCCTTTTTTCCTTTGCTTGAATCGAGCGCATCCTCTGGATTCAGTGCCATACGTGCATTCTGATAACGTTAAAATTCCATTTGCTGCGAATACATTTGGTACTGAAACGACTGTGGTGGATAGTTGTTTTCACGAGAACTGCCTGGAAAACTGTAAGGGTACGACATGCTTGTACAGTACTTTTGATTTTGGTTCTTCGATTTGTTCAGTGAAAGTACGTTAATGAAAAAAAAATTTTCGTTGTGTGTATTTCATTTCATGCCAACCCCAAGGAAACATCAGAAGTAGGAAACAGAACAGCAGGGATTTATTTATTTAGAACGCTTAACAAGTATTTAGATTGGTTTTGGGAAGCTACCAAGCATCCTAAAGGATTAGAGAGATTTTCTTTGAGAATCCTAAAAGCCGGCCAAATTCCAGAAATATTTAGCAAGGAGATTAGCATGACACCTTTAAAGAAAGCATGCTTAAAAACCTAGTGTGACCGCAGCCCAATAAACATAAGAAGTTAGAAAACCATTTTTCGTTGTGTAATTGCAAAGGAATTCAGAAATATTGGGGTTTTATTCCACACCCCTCGCGATGCAGTACTGCGTTTTAAGGGTGGACTGGGAATGAGCCTTAGCTACATCATACCAGGAACCCATATTGGAATCGTATCTGGAAGAAGACCAGGTCTGTGCGTACTTTGCTCAATCTTTCCAATATTTTACCATGTCTTCTTCCGAAAGCGATGTGTCTAATGCGAATGGTAGTTATGATTATGAGTCTGAAGTGAATTATGCTATAGAGGTTGAGGGAAACGAGGAAATAGGTGCCGCCGTGGCTGCTGATGTCGATTCAAGTACGGACGATGATAATGGCCTACTCGAATATGATCCTGTTGCGGACGAAGAGTACGTTCAAAATTATGAAAGGGCTATTCAGGAAAATCGAGAAGAAGAAAGCATCTTATCAAGACGTTTTGAAGGCATTGAACAACTGGACACTTGGTGAATTTTTAGTCAAAGACTTTCTACCTCTAGAGACTGTATTTCTACAAACCTGAATAAATAGGCACAGACCAAAGTAATGACGATATAGAGTCGCGTCGCCCCTTATGGAACGATTTCAGTAAAAATTGTTTCCTCAGCTTTTTGGTAAGCTTTTAAAGTGCACAATGGAGAAAAACGGGGAATTATTATTTGCCTTCTTTCCTTCTACCTTTATTATTCGTCAGTATCAAATCAGATTTTCGTTGAGCCATTTGTTTTCAAATTCAGGGTAAAGAAAAGAAAGTTATCCCCCAGTTTGGTTATCTTACTTGAATGAGACTTTATCACATGTCACACGTTCATCAACTCATGAATTGTTGAGAAACACAACAGGAAGCCCACCGTTCCATCAAAGAAGCCACTAGGCCAATGAAAGTGCTCCTGATAAAAAATCCCGGTGAATGAAAATTGTGCAAGCTATTGTTTGGGTTTCAACGAATATTCGTTTTTGGGAGATGAAGAAACACGTTGTGGGGGTTGGTTTTGTTTGAGCTAAAAAGACCAAGAAAGTTGAGGTTCAGGAAATAAAGAAGGGTCGAAGGTCTAATGACAACTTTTTCGTTTACATACCGCTTACTTTTAAAATATTCTCCTAGCTTTTAAGAACAAAATGAGTTCAAGTAATTAGCCAATAATTAGCAAAGAGTTCAAGTAATGTCGTCAGCAAAATAATTTCGCGTGTTTTTTGAAGATAAACCAAACTAAACTCCTTCATATTTAGTTTTATCACTGCACAGTCAGAATTCATGAAAAAATTGAATTGTTCCATAAGGGGTGATGTCACTCTATTCGAATGTGGGCATGAGTGTTTTTCCATCTCATATTAATGTATTTAGGAATCTAATTAAGTTGAATATATGAGTCGTTGGCATCTTAGGGCTTATTTTTCATTTATTCTACATTCGAGCCTTAAATACTTGATTACTGAAATACGAGGTGCAAATTTAACCAATTTACACCAAAATCAAAGTATTTATCGAAAACTATAACCTCAAATAACAAACTGGTTGAAGGGGCCCCCTGAAAAGTAAAACTTGTGGGTCTTTGATTGAGCCATATTCCCCTTTTGTACGTAATTTACAAAATCCAAAAGTGAATACCTAGAGATATAGTAATATAAATGTTTATGTTAAATAGTTACGGATAACTGCCTCAGATCTATAAGGATTATGCCTTTTTCTTTAGGTGCAAATGTGGAAACTGTGCTATAGACAGACTTGCAAATGCCAGAGAATGCAAATGCTGCACTGAAATTAAAGGTTCTATGTTATCATTGACAACTGTTGAAGTAAGGCAAGATATTGGCGAACAGACTCCAACATGTGTGTTTGAGGACCCTGGGTTTAAACCAGTGGTCCTTAGGGGTGATAGCACAGGGCTTTAAAAAACGACAAAACAAGATACAAGCTTACTGGATTTGAAAATAAGTAAGTGCATTGTTTTCAACAACAAATTGCACTTTCACAAGTATACGTATCCAAAGTTAACAGAGTATTATATACAGTTAACACATTTTCTATAATCCTTAAGGCTAAAGTTGTTGGGGGTACCATAGATTTTTTTCCTTTCTTTAAATTAAATCTAATGTGTGATGGTTTTTTATAAGGTTCAATATATTTCATTGTGTTGTGAGTTTTCATTACAAAATAAACATCATTCAGTGTTATCTTTTTCCTTCAGGTTCCTACGAAGTATCTCATACAGATCCTTCACGAGGTTGATACGCGGTCGCCTTGGAAACAAAAGAATTCCCTTGCCGGCCTGTGCATATAATGCAATTTGACAAGAATTTCCAGTTTTGGCAGGAAATGCAAAGGGGTTTGAGAGTAATAGTTCAGAGTAAATCTAAGTTTCCAAAAGTAAATTCTTCTCCCTGATACTTTAATACCTTTCTCAACCATACAATTTTAATGTTATTTATTGGTTGGACAGTCGACTTTCTTGTGTCCTTTCATCGGATGCTTACACACAGAGCATTGAGGCTTTGATCTTTGCTTTGTTGCAGTTTGTACAATTTGGTTAACTGTCATGAAAAAGAAGAAGTTTCTCAATGCTAAGAGGTACATTGTATGTATCTGATTGTATGTATGTAACATATTTTTGCTCTGCAAATCAGGATTATATAGCGTGGATTAAGAAAGATGCTTTTATTATTATAATATGACTTTAACCGAGGATATGTTTGATCAATGGGTTATGAAACAATTGCTGACCTGTCATTGTTGGCGGTACATCAGTAGCAACTAATGATTGACTCATTCACGTACATCAGTACCAACTTTCAACATCCTTTAACTCATTTACTGCATCCTGTAACATTGTTGGTGACTTGATGCCATCAAGAATGGTCTGATAAATGTCTTCCACCTAATTTGGCGATATAATTCAGTAAGATATTCCTTAATACAGAATGCGAGAATCCTTAATTCTGATCCTCAAATTTCCTGGATTGTCTATTGCCATTTGTTTTTATTTAATTCAAAATTATAACCTTAACTGCAGCAGGGCTGTATTAGATTTTTTATTGAGTCAAAGTGAAATTCTGTAAAAGCAAATGTGTAATTAGAAAACTTTCAGAAAATTAAGTTTAATGTTAATTGAGAATTTAAAAAAGGAATTCTTACCAAAATTTTGTGCCACTGGAACATCACATACTGTTGCGGTACCATTTTTGAATTTTGGGTAGGCTACTTTAATCTGCACAGACCCATTCTTCTTTCTTTATACATCACGGTTGACATTATAATTGAAATGTATTGCAGCTAGAGCATGCCTGGAATTATCCAATTTTGATATTTTAAAGTATATACAAAGTTATTTGAAGTTTTTATTTACACCTCATGAAGCTAATATAAATTTTTTTCAAATCTCTAAATATTTGTAAAGAAACCTTTTGATTTCAGGGATTCTGAATCTTTATCAAAACTGACTTGTATATTAATTTGTTACCTGCAGTAAATTCCAACATATGAATAACAAATCATCTTTGGTGCAAATTGGTTGACTACAGAATGAAAACCTTCCAAACAGCTAGTCTGCGCATCATTTGAAAGCTTCTTTATGCCTTTTAGGGATCCTGGCTTTGTCGGGGCATTGCAGACTTTTTCGTATGCATCAGAATCTGCAGTTAAATGACATGTTGATAAAATGACAGATAGGTGTAAGATTTGCATTAGTACTGTACATTGAATGAGCTTCTACTTTCGAATGATTAAAAATTTAGCAATTTTCATAACTAACCTTTTAACAACCATTTGCGCTTTGTTAAATCTGGACGATGACTGCAACTACTGAATAATGGGTCGGGTAGATTCTCGTGCTTATTTAGTATGTGGCTTAAAAACGCTTTGTACTTGGCAAGTATCACATCACCATTCCCATCCATGGTTGTTGTGGCACTCCAATACACATGATTAACCCATGATCGTATCCACTCGTTGATGACTTCACAACCCTTTTCTTTGCCAAGTTTTGTTAACATTTTATTCACTTCTGAAGTCAAAAATAAAAAATTAGAAGATTTGCAATTGTGCTAATAATGGTAAGATTTGCAATTGTGCTAATAATGGAAGGAAGTTGTGAATAATAATAAACAAAAAAGAAAACACTCTTTGAAAACGTTTGCAAGGCAATTATACGAAGAAAGCTGTTAAACATACTTTTTGCAACATGCCAGATGTCATAACGATGAATTATTTCTGGATGGTTCTCTTGTATAAAGCTTGATATAACTATGTGGCGATCTGAGACAAATTTGGAAATTGGGACATCTATCAGTAAAGCCTCTAGACAGAGTTTGAATCCATATAATTCCATAGCACTGCTGCTACCAGCTTGATTTCTCTGGAATGTAAATTATGTACAAAGTACTAGTACTAGTGCCCAGTCAAAGAGTAAAAAATTCCATGAATGGGGACTGGGCATTAGTACCCCTTTCTAAAAATAGAACAGGGGGCATGTTTGAGAATTTTTCAAATTTTAATCGTTTTCTGCACATGAAATTATCTGTACCTACCAGATTTTCTGTTGCTATGTGTTTCTGGACGATAGATAAACGTTGAATCTTCTAAGGGGACTGGGCACGAGAACCCCCATCTAAAAAAAGGGGATGGAGGCAATTTTCCGGATGGGTCCAACTCTCATCTTTTTCAGCGTGAGAGTGTCTATGTCTGCCAAATTTCATGCTTTTATCACAATTTGCACGGTGCATTGTATCACCCGCTGCACTACTACCTATGTGCCCTCTTTGTAATTTTGTGTGATCCACTTAACATTTTGCGTGAAACTTATAGTTAAAAATGAACCCTATACTGTAGCACATTTCTACAAGGATGACGTTTTTAGTCATAAAATAAAGAGAGACTACTACTTAACCAGTTTTTTTGGTTCAAAATATAACAAAATCAATTTCCAAGTAGGGAAATTAACTCATTTTAGATTCAACAGAATTAGCTTCAAATAGCAAATTTGATTAATATTTTGACATTTTTACCCTTTGGTGTTTGAAGAAAGTTGTGAACGAGATTGTGCAAAGATTCATGTGATTGAAAATCTGTCTGACTTTGAGATTGAGCCCCCAAGCTAACAATGTTGACATACAGAGCAGGAAGTTGCTGGCAGGTATGTTAGTTCCAGTCATTTTCGGTTGACTTCTCCAAAGATATTCTTTCAGACATGCTGGGTTAATACAGTGGCTCCTAACAATCAGCATTGTTCCACATTTAGTTGCTTTAATGTTAGGGTTGTCACTCTTGCAGAAATGACAGAACTTGAAGAGCAACAAGATTTGAACCAAAAATGAGATGAATTTTGGTTCTGTCCGGAGGTTTCCATCTGTAGCTAAGAACCTGTGTTTCAGAATGAAGTAAATTTTAAACATATGCATAACTTGACTAAACAATTTGAAAGATATGTTTTCTTTGCTAATTATCTATCTGCAAAACTGCATAGAATAGTAATGTTTAAAACAAGAAACACTGCAATGTGCAGATAATAAACAACAATGAAACACAAGTGGATTAAAGATAGGTAATCTTTTACCTCAGCATATGGGGCTTCATCAGAGCAAAAGTAATGGCATAGTAATGTCTGCGACAACTAAACCAGATTTTAAATTGGTGGGTAGTATACAATCATATTTAACATGTAAATGGTACTGATTAATTTACCTAGAAGCCTCTTCTGTGTCACTTTCTACATCGCTTTCTGTGTCTGAAGGATCAGATGGTTCATAAGTTGACATTTCCTCATCCTAACAATCAAAATCATGCTCCTCCAATGATTCATTATCACTTTCCTCAGAACTATCAGCTTCATTTGGAAGATCACCGGACATAATTTTTGTAGAATCACTCTTTTTAGGTGACCTCTTTGTTTTCCTTACTTTCCCTGAAATCAATGTTTCACCACAATAAAAATGGCTGGATTCAAGTGATGATCCATCCTTAGTATGAAATAGGCATCACTTCCAAAATAGGCTTTTCAGTGCTCTTTGTGCAATTTTATGATATTATGTTTGCACTCTTCTTTGCAAGGTTGCTACCTCAATTAAGGCTATAATGGTAGCACTTTAGTGGAGGGGCAAAGCCCTGTTCAGATCTTTTCAGGAGAGAGGGAGTTGGTATACCTGGACTTTGGACATTTTTTCCACAGCTTTTGTCACAGAGAGAAAAGTGAAACAGAAGCCTTGAAATTTAAAGGGCCAAATTAACTGAAAAGCTTTGTAGAAGGATTTAAGCCATTTAGAAGCCATTTAGAATGCAAAAACTTCTGGATCAAACAGAATCAATTGCACATTCGGGAAATAATTAGGAAAAACAAAAACCTACATTGTAGTAAAAAATTTTGTGATAAAATTATTCTTACCATAACACCAAAACTGGATTTTCTTTCAGTCTTCCCTCTATCCCTAGACCTCCCTCCCTATTGAAGGGTTTGACTGGTGCAGTTTCCTGTTTCAAGTTTGTTTAGCAAAAATGCCCACCTATTTTTTAAAGTTTCTTCAAAGATAAAAACTGAATTTGAAAGTGGACGTGTCCATCATTTTTTAGTCACCTTAAGGTTGTGACACAAATCCAATCATAATCTAACAACCCACTTCTTGCCATTTAAATCCGCCCATGCTTCTTAGGCTTCCTCCCAGACCCCCCCCCCCGCATTTTTCCTATTTTATTTACCCTGGTAATTATGGAATGTTAACAAAAATTTATTTACAAATTTGAAAAAAAATATTTTTCCTGGCTGATTATGGCTAAACTGGGTTCTTGAAGGCTACTTCTTTTATAGCATTCAATAACGTTTATTTCTCCGAAAGAATGTGTGACTTAAAAACGTGTCAGTTCTTTTCTTATCCTTTATAAAACCTTACTATGATAAAATTTGAATTTTTTCTTGCTCAATATATAAAAATTTCTGACACGGTGATGCCACACCCACCCTTCTCTGACGTCATTGATTTCTATACATACATAGTACATTTGTTTGAACTAACTTGTCAATTTTTGATTTTTCAGTCTTTGTTTTGATAACAGTACCCTTACCTTTTGATGTTGTTGTACCTAGAAAATAATTAGGTGCAAGAGTTACAGGAGGGACGTGTTTTCAAATGTGCAAAATCATGAAAATCTACTAATTAAAAACAAATTTAACGTTAGAAATCTGAATAATTGTTTTCTTCAATACCTCTGGATTATATGATTCATTATCGATGTAGTTTTCGTCTTCCATTGAATGACCAGCAACATTTGGCTGTTCGTCGATTGCAGCGAGGTTATCTACAATGCCTGCCAAAAGTCTTGGAACACTTGCTACAATTTACGTTGTTTCTTTAATCTTTAATCTACATGTTTCTTTAATTACTAGTCAGTGTTACAGCAGTCAATACTTGGTTCGATACCATTTTTGGCTATAATTTTAAGACGATCATGCATCGTTGCTACCGTACGATCGATGATGGAGGAATCGAAATTGAAAAGTGTCTGCAAAGCCCTAACACGGAATTCTTCGAAACTCTCTTTTTCGATCTTCAAATATAATGCTTCTTTTACCAACTGAGATTTAACATTATTGAAAATATTTTCAATCAAATTCAAATCGGGTGATCTTGGGGGTATTTCTATGAGCTCTGCCCCTACATCGTGTAACGCATCGGTAGCGAGTTTGCTCCTCTGACTTGGATCATTGTCCATTAAAAAAATTAGCTTCTCTTTCTCCTTTGATATGGCACACTCAATTAGTGTAGGATGTAAAGTTTTGTGAACAAATCTTGCAAATCATTCTGCATTGAATTTTTGATATTCTTCTGCAATGACAACGCTGTTTGTGAACCCAACACCAACTAGAAGATGGAGTCTCCGCCCTTCAGGTAAGCTTTTGGACCCCTTTGTGGTGTGCTTGAGACCTTCATTGGATCTTCTCCAAATTCTCCCTCTTGGTGTTAAAGCGTCTCTATAGGGGTTACGTTTGTAAACGAAAGAAACACCATCCAAATAGAGAAGGAAGTCGTCTGTCCAGAATTTCCGATCATATTTTTGAATTGCTTGCCTGGCATAACATTGCCTCCTCCTTCTGTCTTTTTCTGACAGCAAACCTTTTTGTCGTGGTCGTAAGCATCTATATCCATTTTCGTTCATTAATCGCACCAGGGTTCTGTAACTGACTTTGGTTACACTGCATTCTTTTGCAACATCATGTACAGTTACGTTGGCATTTTCATTCCTTAGCTGCTGGAATGTCCTTATGAATCGCTGCTTTTCTCTTCTGCTCATAATTGGTGGTCGGCCTGTTATCTTTTTTTGCTTTTTTATGGCCAAAGCTTCCTTGCATATGCAAACAACACTTGACGGCGATATATGACATTTTTTCGAAATTTCTCGATATGATAAAGAGCCCTCAACTCGCAAATAATATGCATAGGCTCTCGTTTTTGAGTTGATTTTGCCACTGAACACCATTGCTTCTTCTCGATTCTTGCTAAGGTTGCAATTCGCATGGACTTGAATTTATATACATTTCATTTCAACACAATTGCTTATGAATGCACGTCACTCTTTTTTGTTTTCTAATCCATTTGTTACTGAAAAATCAATGGAAGCTAACTGTGAAGTATTTGACGTAAATGACGGTCTTGGCCCTTTACGTAGGGATGTGTCGATTGGAAGAAATAAACAAAGAGAAGGTGTAGCCTGTTTACTTATTGTTTATATGTGTTGCGAGAGAGTTTCATCTCCTGTTGAATCGCTTTAATAGATGCCATAAGAAACCGTAAACAAATACAAATTATAACATAAAGATAATGGAACCCCACTTGAAATAGAGAAAATGCAACCCCCTACCATTATCACAATAAGGTGTTAAAAAACAGTTGTTTCGTCATCGGCAATGAAATCAGCGCCCTCGATTACCCTATGTTCTGACAAAGTTGCGGGTTTATGTCTTTCAGTTTGATGTATAAAAATCAGACAAAGTCTTGCCTGCCACAAGTCTTGGAACACTTGCGACAATTTAGGTTGTGCACGAGCTGCAACATCCCCTCCCCCCTTGTACAATGTTGTGCCACGGAAATATGAATAATCCTACATGTACAAGTGATACATTTTTACATAGCTATGGTTTTCAGCTAGCGAATCAACATTATATGCGGGGGAAAGGGAGCAACACCCTCCTTGTTGACATGGAAATAGAAAGGAACACGCGAATTCACAGAAATCTCAGGGTGTTCCAAGGACTTTTGGCAGGCATTGTAGGCCTATGGTTGAATCCGTGGTAGAATTCCCTTTGGCTTTGCCCAATGGGATTGTTCTAGACCCTAGAACAATATAAACAAATAATACCTTATTGCTCTCGTTCAAAATCTGCTACAAATACGACACAAAACAGTGCCTAACTTCTAAATGCGGGTAGCTAATTTTTATTTAGGCCTGTAGGCCGAAATGTTGTTGTAAATCTAACCATGAAAAGAAACACACCGCAAATAGATTAATGATCTTATTTGGCCAGCATTGATGTAAATATTAAATAAATTCGAATATATTTCATCAGACGACTACCCTGGTAAATCTAACATTGGAGAAAATATCGTGGTTTCTATAACCCCTACCTTTCTTCGCGTTCCGTCCGTCATCATTCCATCTCTGTCTTTCGCCGTGTTGTTTGACTCTAATATGGTAGGATACGGTACTACCCCAACTTCATCAGTAATAAGCCGTGGGCTTGTCCCTGGGAGCAAAATTTTCCTAGTGAAACTGTCTAGGGTGAAGTGTGCAGAGCAGATGACCGAATGTTAAGATGCTGTCCACTGATCAGCCCGTTTCGAGTTGATGAAGTCGATCCATCTCTTGCGTCTTCTTTTAGCCTCAGGGCGATCAACGTTGTTAAACAGCACTGGATGAAGTGCAATACATCGATTCTTATCGGGTATGTTACTGCAAGTTGGTAAAATGCACCTTGCCGGTGTCATATGCGTTTCGGTAACCTTATGCATTTCGGTCTGGGTACACAAACGCATGGCAATTTTGGTTATGCAAAAAGGTACCCAAGCACTTAAACAATAGGTAACCAAAACGAATGGTAGAATTTAGCATGCATTTCGGTCCGGGTACACAAACGCATGGCAATTTTGGTTATGCAAAAATGTACCCAAGCACTTAAAGAAGAGGTAACCAAAACGAATGGTAGAATTTAACATGCATTTTGATCCGGGTACACAAACGCATGGCAATTTTGGTTATGCAAAAATGTACCCAAGCACTTAAAGAAGAGGTAACCAAAACGAATGGTAGAATTTAACATGCATTTCGGTCCGGGTACACAAACGCATGGCAATTTTGGTTATGCAAAAAGGTACCCAAGCACTTAAACAATAGGTAACCAAAACGAATGGTAGAATTTAGCATGCATTTCGGTCGGGGTACACAAACGCATGGCAATTTTGGTTATGCAAAAAGATACCCAAGCACTTAAAGAAGAGGTAACCAAAACGAATGGTAGAATTTAGCATGCATTTCGGTCCGGGTACACAAACGCATGGCAATTTTGGTTATGCAAAAAGGTATCCAAAGCACTTAAAGAAGAGGTAACCAAAATGAATGGTAGAATTTAGCATGCATTTCGGTCCGGGTACACAAACGCATGGCAATTTTGGTTATGCAAAAAGGTACCCAAAGCACTTAAAGAAGAGGTAACCAAAACGAATGGTAGAATTTAGCATGCATTTCGGTCCGGGTACACAAACGCATGGCAATTTTGGTTATGCAAAAAGGTACCCAATCACTTAAAGAAGAGGCAGCCAAAACGAATGGTGGAATTGGGCCTTTCTCTTTGAACTGCACTAAACCAAAAAAAACTAGTTTGTTTACGAAAAAGCTTAGTTGCAGACATAAATGCAATTTGACGCATGAACCCAGGTCATAATAAAAGGATAGTGAAGAAAATCTAGAAAAACTCGATTCAAAAGGTAATAAATATGTGATTTATAAAACATCAGCAGGTAATGTGAAAAATTAAAAAGTAAATTCAGATTTTAATTAAAACTCCATCACGTGAAAACTGTTGAATATCTGATGGCAGAAGTTCATCTTTCACACTGGAAAGATCGATCTCGGATCCTGTCACCGAAATATCGATCGAGTGTAAGCAACTTTGTTTGACACAATAAAAATAATTTCGTGCACCTTGGTGCCATTTACCATCGCGCTTGAGATAGAATGGTTTGGAGCTGTAGTGTCCGATCAGAAATCTTTGCATTGCTTGCTGCTTTTCCTTGAAGGGGGCCCTGCATGCTTCACACCTTTTGGCTCCTGTTTTTTTGCCAACCTTCATCATCAAATATCTATATTTGATTTTAATTTTTGAAGCTTTTGGTGTTGCTAGGACTTGTTGTGGAGATCCTGGAGGACTCGGATTTTCGATTGCTTTTGCTACTGCATGCACGAGCTCCGAAATTCAAACAGCGCACTCGAAATCTTCGTTGTCTTGGAGTTTCGTCTCTCCTTTGCACTTAGCATGGATCCATCTTGGGCATGACATACATTGTAGCTAGAAAAAAATGCAAGTTTCTCGTTCAAATTTGTTTTCTGATTTTTACAAAAATCTATTATGTGACGAATGAATATTTGTAGTTAACTTTTGGTGGTCAAAATAGATAGGCGATCAAAAATAGACTTTTTCCCGTTATTGTATCGTCGGGTAAGTACAGATGTAGAAAATTCCCTTATTTAACTGTATTATATAATTCTTTTGTTGAATTGATAGCCTTGAAGTCTAAAAAAAATTACAGAAAATTGCCCAGTCAAGTACTTACTGTAACATCATCACCTTCATAAAAAGAGCAAACGCTGCACCATCCATTTTCTCTGCCATCTGCAGTATGAAAAAAAGGGTTGTGAAAATTCTTTACATGAAGATCCATTTGAAAAGCAGTCCGCTGGTCTGAAAGGGCTACAGTTTTAAATGAAAATGAAAATTTTCAAACAAAAGCAACAATTACAAATCTATACAAAGTATTATGCACATGTTCAAACATTTGCTGATGTAGAATAACTGTATGAAAAAAATCTTCAACGTTTTCACTTTCATATATTTTTGCAATTAAGTGAGAAATATCTCACCTGACGATGCAACAAGTAATTCTGCGATTTCTTTAAGGTATCTTTCCATGTCCGCAGTTTTGTTTGCAATGTTTGCGTGTCCTTTAGCAATTATCTGTTCTGCAAACTGATAGCAATACAGATAAATTTATTTTTCCATGAATGAGTACCACAAACAGAAAATTAATTTTTTCAGACAGACAAAAAACATACAGTCTTCTAAAATTAAGTGAAAATTTATTGAGCTAAACTCGCCTAGACTAACAGGTACCATTCAAATTTGCTATACTTCTTCTTTATCCTTAATACTTTTTGATACAAACACAAAGCATACCTTCATTGTGTAGACACCGCAGTTAAATCCATCAGTTTGTTTTGGATGCGATAGCGCTACGTATCTCCACGCAATTGTCAGTGCGTTGAGATATGCCACCCTGTTTCGCCAGAATTATCTAAACAAATAATTACAGTAGAAATATAGTCATTTAGGCATAGAAAGAGCCTTATCAAATTCATTATGCAGCAATTTAAAAATAAGCTATACAGTCAAATAAATAATATATGGGTATATTCTCCATACTTCCAGTTCTTCATGAGTGTTGCCACCTGACTTTGAAGCTCACCAAATGAATTAAGGAACATTAATGCTCCTTCTTTGGGCTTCACCATCTGCAAACAGAATAGAGATTATAGAGATTAGTGATTAAACCGCTTTGTCGTGGAAGTTAGATGAACAAGACGACTTGCATGTAAAAATTCAGGAAGACGAAACTGCGAATTTTTTCAGACGACTTACAACTAGAGTCCAATGACATGAATTCACGTTATTTCCACCAACCACAAAGTCGTAATCCTCAATTTTTACCTTTAAGAAAAAATCTGTGAGTGTATTTCCGAAAAGCAACAAAAATATTCGAAACTCATTGATGTATTTTATTATTCATCTATTATTTTGCTGAAGAGGGGCCTAAATTTTCTCTGACAAGCTGAGCTTTCGTCGTCAAGGCTGAGAGTATTTGTCATATTTTTCTACTTAAATTCACACGATGTAGTGAATGTAATCAAACAAAGGAAATCTTTTTTTATGATCCAGAGTAAACTAATCTCATTTTCATTTAAGCAATTCGTGTTTCTGATTGGCCTATTTCAGTCCACAACTGGGTATTTTTATTTCCTAGCGTAAAGTTTTCGATCTATGTTCTGACGTTTTATACTCTGAAGAGTGTACTCTGAAGTTAGTTTACTAAAATGTTTGCTTTTTTCAAAGCCATTTTTAATTTTGGTACTACCAAAAGATTGTTTGAATTCTTACCTTCCTTAGCTTTTGCTTGTAGCACAGTCCATTGCAAATTTCGGACATGATGCAGGAGCCAATGACCAAAATCTTTGTCTGTGAAAATTTCCTTTATTATTAATTTTTGCTTGCCCAGATAGATTTACGAAACATGTCTAGTAGCAATTTTTAAGCCTCTTTTTTACGTTTCTTTATGAATAACCGTTAAAGATAAAGGCTTTTACACTGCATAAAGCAATAACATCATCAAAATTTTGAACTGCTTTTTAAAAATTTGCAGAGTCATCAGAAAATTAGTTCCAGGTAGTTATGCACTTTATACTTACATTTTGGTTGCTGTATAGCCTCGACAGAAGAACCAAATACACGTCTATCACCTATAAGATAAAAACACAGCTGGCTGCTAATTGTTTCTGTAACATCGTTTTCTCACATTTGGCAACATCTTATATCATAGCCACTAATTTTTCGATTGAAATGAAGTCAAAAATTCCTAGTAGCTACAGGCTTTGCAATCACATAATATATACCATAATAAAATTTATAAAAGTTTGTTTCTATATATATTTCCATTCATAAAGTGTAAATTTTGCCCAGAACTCATGTAAAGTAAAGCATTTGTTTACACAGATCAAGGTTTTTTTTGAGCAGTTAAAAAGCACTATTTAGTGCAAAACCTGTGAAAGGAACTTTTTAATTTTAAAAAAACTTTTCTCATTAAAAAACGTAAAATTCCAATAAATTATTTGAATTGTACTTACCTCATCTGAAAGGTATGATTCGCCCTTCAGCTCTAGGATTCGGTTATCACTGAGGCTTATACCATTGATGTTGCTTACGCAATATCCAACACCGCTACATTCCCATATGGTGTCAACGACTAGAAATAATCACAAAATATTATGTTGAGCTGGGTTACAACATCCAAAATAGATGGCTAAAATTTTATTAAAAGGTAAAAGTATCTAGTACTAATTGTAACACCCAAGAACACTTGTTTAAACATAACAGGTTGGAAAAAAGAAGAGATAATTGAAATTGTCACTGTTAGGAGAGCAAGCAATTCTTACCAGCGTTGGGAGGCAATTCCTGTTTTCGTAGTGCCTTGTCAGATTGTCGTAGGTGGACACGTGGGTCGTCATCTTCTATCGAAATCACGTGCGATTTTGTGACAAACAACGAAGATACCTTGAATGCATACGCCTCCCCATTATCTTCCTCATTCGTCTGGCTGACAACTATAGGCCCTCATCTTCCTTTTTAGGCTCGGTTCTGGAAACTATAGGCGAAGATTGCGCATTCATTTCTGGATAACCTTTGAGGTAATGCTCGAACTGTTCCTGATTTGGCAACATGCTATCATCTTCACAGAAACCAGTCACATTAGTATTATCTGCAAAAGCAATTTCAGAATCATCATTCTCGTGAATTCTTGATTTGCTCTTTTCCTTCATGTCCCGATCTACAATCTCTTCAGCCTCATTCTCACCTTCATCGACAGTAGGATTTGGCACCAGATTATTTGTGTTATCTTCCGCGTTAGGCCTCGTCTCAGTTTTACTTTCGGTTTTTTCTTCTTCGAAAATCCAAGGTTTTAGGTGCTTTATGTTTTTTTTCACTTTTTTACCATCAAGGAAGACATGCTTTGATCCAACAATCTCCGAAATGGTATACGGTCCTGTCCATTTCTTGGCAAGCTTGTCTCCTTTGCGGGTGGTTTGACGAGCAGTGAACAGCAGCACCTTTTCACCAACAGAAAATGTAATGGCCTTCTTTCCACCAGGAAGTCTTTTTTTCTGTAGTACTTTTTTTGCTTCTCTTGTGAAATCTTGATGTTTTTTTTGCAATCTCATCTTTCTTTCCTTTCACGTCATTTATCTTGTTGACGAAGGCAACAATGTCATCTTCTAATGGGAGCTGTATTCTCTTCTGCAAAGAGACATTGTTGTCGTTAATAGATGCAATCACTAATTTGCTTCAGCATTCAAGTGTCTAATAAAGCAGAAAATTTGATGCAAATAATAATGAATAATCATAGTGCATAGTTATTTTGGGAAGTTAAGCCCTCTTAGCTAAGGGTGTGACACCCCCAAACAGCCCCACCCCTACCCGCTACGCCCCTGAATATATTAGACCATGCTGGACATTTGAAGTTCACCTGTTTTGAGTTCAATCAATGTTCAGTGATACTAAACATGAGTCAAAAACAGATTGCTGTATTCTCTTCCAATAAGGCCAATTTACAAAACTATAAAAATTGACTTATGCTCTTAAATAATCTAACTGAAAAACTAGAAAACAGATACCTCAGATATATCACTAACGAACTCCGTAGTTTCGATTGGTCGCAGGGCTTCTCCGCCATGCATCAATTGAAAAGGAGAAAATTTTGTGGTAGAGCTTTTTGTTGTTCTGATTGAAAACAGTATTGGGTCAATAAGCTCGACCCAATGATCAAGGGACTCCTCCTCTGAAAGAAGCTTCTCTAAACGCCTTTAAGTAAATTAAAAATATAGATTCAAAAGTGAATTAATAGAGTTTATGATCCTCAAAAATAAGCATTTTACTCCAGAAAATATTTTATTGATAGAAAAACAAGTTAACATTATAAAACTCCACTTTAAATACCGTAAAAGCTCTATTAAGGCCCCGTGCTCTTTTGTTCTTAACTTTTTAGGGTGTAAGCAATGCGATTGCTAGGGAGGTATGCAGGCCTCATTTGCCAACAAAGTGAGTGAGACAACCTTCATTTGCCAACAAGTTTGAATATTCATTGAAAAAGCACCCACACATGGCTTAAAATTCTCGTTTTTGAGAACGTTGTTCGAAATTGTTTAATTTGTTTTTAACTTTTGACCAATTTTCTATTGAGGCTCGTGTTCTATGAAATTGTTCTTCTAAAAAAGAGTTTTTTCGACAACAAAGAGGGCACCAAGATCAGGAGTATTAAAATCACAACATGCTGCATAATAAATCAACTCTATACCTTTTTATATTCTGATTTGTCCTTTCGTCTAAACCATTTGTCTGCGGATGGTATGCTGCCGTCATCTTGTGATTAACGCCAAGAATTTGGTAAAACTCTTTGTTCAACTAGTAAAAAAGAAATAGCCATTTCTTGATTTTTATTCAGCCTACCGATCTCTATTGGCGTAAATGTAGAAAATAATACACGATGTCCGCTTTTAAGAGGTATTATTGTGGAAAAAAGGATTTGGGAACGATGTCAGAACTCCAGCAATAACAACAGAAGCATAAAAATATAAAATATAAATGTACATATCTAATCATAAGGCGAAGGCTGACAAGAGGAAAATCTTTCCACAAGGGTGCTACCCAATTATATCGAACCACTCTTGGTGGAAATCGAACTCCAGTTTGCTGCTTCAAAAACCCCCACTCATTCCACTGAGCCAAAGGGCCCAATATATATATATATTTATGTTTATATATATTTATATATATATATATACCTCCTGACTGAACATCTCCTGAAGAGTGAGTTACTCACGAAACAGGCTTGTAGACATAAACCATGTAGTTTTACTTTCTTCAATCTATGATATATAACGCTCTACGTGCTAACGTATTGAGCAATGTGCTACGGAAGTATCAAAAGATAAATTTCTATATATATTCAGTCTTTGTAATATGAGGCGTGCAATCGCACGCGCACACCTCCACACACGCACAAATTGTCTGAGGCGTGCTAATCATCGCACGCGCAAAACAAAGAATTTGCCACAACAATTTTTAAAATTGCTTATGTTTCGAAGATTTTCAAAGCAGCGGTAACTCAAAGTCGCCAAATTCAAAGGCAGTTCTGTCGTTGTCCAAGGTGTTGTTAAAGTATTCCCATACGGGATTTATCAATAGCGTCAAAAAGATCGCTTAACAATTAATACGACAAGATCGCAAGTACCAATTTTATGTCCATATTATCAGATGGGTCTCAAGCCAGAAAAACTGGTCGTGAAAAAGAAATGGTCCTTATCAGATGTGAAAGAAATGGTTAGTGTATTTTATTCAATTTTCATTGTGAGTAACCATTGTATTTTCTTGCTTTGCGGTTGTACTTGAACCCCTACCTGGCCCTACCTGCGAGCAATCTATAAAGGAAAGTTGAATTATGCAAAAGATAAGAGGTTTTTTTCAAGATCTTTTATTTTGGGTGTTTAACTTTGCCTTGCCCCCCCCCCCACTTTCAAACTGTGTCGGAGCAGATGGTTACACAATCTGTTACTGATAACATGCTACATAGTAAATTCCAAGTTGCTATTGATGTTTCAGGCAAGACCACAATTACAAGTGAATTTACACGTACAGGAGACAATTTACATAAAGAGGACAATCGCAGCCCTGTTACTGTAACAATGAGAGAAATAAAGAATGTACACATAGCAGTAAAGGAGGAGGCCCTGCGCCAACGCAGTGTCACAGGCGAAAAACTAATAAAAGCAATGCAAGAACGCCTGAAAACATACGATGATGGAGTGTTCAGTACAATGAAATGGTTTGATCAAAAGCAATGGAACCACAACAAGGATTACGGGGTCCCAGAGATCACTGCTTTTGCAGCTATTTTCAAAACCCCTCTTAGCGAGACAAAGTTTGACGTTTCGAAAGCTCTCAAGGAATGGAAGTCATTCAAAAAATACGTACAGTATAGGGCTTTTTGGATTGAGGCAAGAAAGCTGTGGAAAAATACGCTTTCTTACAGGGCAGACAAGTACCCAAACCTTTGCATTCTGGCAAAGATAATGGTTGCAATATCTGGCTCCAATTCATCTGTAGAGAGAGCGTTTAGTATTCTCAGCATATTATTGTCAGATAGAAGATTGCGAATGTCACATAGGGTTATGGAGATGAGACTTCGCATCGCAGTCAATGACATTATATGGACTGACGAAGAAAGAGATAATATTTTGAAAAGGGCAACGGAAATCTATCTTTCGAAGAGCAGAAAGCGAAAACTGGATAAGTGCAACAGTTTACTGAAGAAACCGAAGCTAGATAAGGAGGAGGAGGCTGAAGAAAGCTCTGATGATGAAGAAAGTGACGATGACTGTACTTATTTTTAAATTATTTTAAACTTGGTTTTGTGCTCAAAGAAAGTGTGTTAATTTCGACGTTTGTGTCATTTCTCTACCCATTCCTTCTCATTTGATTGTTAGCTCAATTCCAAAGGAATACGACGGTAAGATAGTTTTTATGAATATCCGCTAAGTTATCCGCTATGTTAACGATGCTACTGAAGTCAGTGACGCTGCTTGGCAATGTGTCGACGGATGGTAGGGTCTATCAGTAATAAGATTTTTTTTCAATCCAGATTTCTTTAAGTGACTAAATAAATTTAACATCTTTAAAAAAGAACAAGAACAGTTTCTCCGTCAATTTCCTTGGTTTCCGTTCAGTTAATAACACAAAAGGTCTCCTTAAAAGCAGTTCTTGACAACAGGTATGAGAAACAACCGATCAAAAGCGGTTCGCATCGCACGCCATCGCACGCGCAAAGTAATCAAGGCGTGCGAAATGCCGCATGCGGCCTATTTTCATATTACAAAGACTGTATATATTTATATATATATATATATATATATTTATTAATTATCATATTGCTGTCTAGAGTGCTCAACTTACCGGAGCGATTAGATAGACTAAAATAAACAGACTATTGTGACACAACTCTGAGTTTCATGTGTAAACAATCATCAGGTGTATAAAAGAACACAAGCTAACGGCAAGCAAGATATAACGGTGAAAACGAATAATCGAACACAATCAAACAAAGTTAATTGTGCAGAGTGATAAATCATAACAACTACATTCTAAGATCGAAAATTGCTAATCAAAAGTTTGTTTTGGTGTCTACATTGGCTTATAAATTCTGTTCTATTATTAAGTATTTTATTGTCCCCTAAAGATTGAATTATATAAAATTTTTCTGTCAGGCATAATTTACAAAAGTTGCTTCTAGCTGTGCTTTTTATTCTCTTGACAATTCTCCATTTAATGGTTGGTATCTTTCCTTGTTCCTTCAATTTCCAAATATATTTTGAAAGTTCGGTACTCTTTTTATATCTTTCGTGTTTAAAATCTTTGTTATGGTTAGCATATCGTAGTTTGAATGTACCTTCGGTGAGGCCAATATATTTTTTCTTTTCATCATCTTTATCGTTGCTAACTGTTGCTTCATATATGAGGTTGGGTGTTAAACATTCATTTCCTAATGGGCAGTCGTCTTTGTTTTTGCAGTTACATCCATATTCTTCCTTGCTTTTTGGGTTTAAAACAGATTTGTTGTGTGAGGATATTATGGAACCTATATTTTTCATGCAGCTGTAACTAACCTTGATTGTGTTTTTATTAAAAATTTTAGCCAGTTTTTCATCATCAGCGAAATGTTTCTTTACAAGCTTTAAGAAGATTTTGCCCACGTTGGTTTTGACATTCCTCGAGTAGGGTGGATTAAACCAAATAATTTTCCGTTTGCGCTTCTTTTTATCTTCATTTTTCCTTTTCTCGGTATCTTTGGGGATGTATTTCAAATTGTCGTTAAAACCACTTTTTCTAAGAGCTTCTTCATATACGGTCATTTCTCTTCTATAAATTTCTTCAGTTGATGATAATTCTGATATCCGTTTGTTGATGCCTTTAGGTAGTTCTTTTAATACTGTCGGCGGGTGATTAGAATGTTTATTGATGTAGACAGGATTGTTATTTGGTTTTCGATATGGTTGAATAGTATTGTTTTGAAGGTCCAGGCGTATATCTAAAAAGTCTACTGTTTTGAGATTTGTCTTAATTGTAATAGATAGTCCACACTCCTTGAATATTTGGATGATTTTCTTTCTTTTTTGGTCAATGTTTGGTCCTGATAAATTCCTTACAATACCTAACCCATCATCTCTGTATAGCCCAACATTTCCGTTACCCATTACTGAATTTAATTTGTTTAAGATGTAGGTACCAACCAATTCACAAATTTCTGCTCCGTCAAAACAACCCATTGGTACATCAAAATCTTTGTCGCCTTTCTTCTTTACCCATGGGATTCCTGAGTTGAAAAGTAATGTTTTCCTTGATTTCGATATAATGTCAATTTCTTTGTTTGTAATATCTGTTAGGTTTTTGGCATAGTCTATAGCTTTGTTGAATAGTTCAGCAGATATTGATGGGTAAAATGATTCTATGTCAAAGGTGATGAACTTTACGTCTTCTTTATTATTAATACTGTTAAAACAATTGGATAACTGAGTCTGTATTTTTCCATTGGTGAACTTTACTTGCTGTGATGATCTCATTGTTAATTTTATCTAATATTGTTTTGCTAATTTTGCCAATGTCTGATTTGGTTGGGTTTATAAGTCTGCATGATACCTTGGTGGGGAAGTTTTCTTTATGATCTTTGATGGTGATATAAGCTTCTTTGTATAAGAACTAGTAAATTGAAACTCAGGCTCGTTGTTCTTAATTTTTTCCATTTTAAGCATTGAGGCTGGACTGTTGTTAAGTTTGAAAAATCGAGAAAAATCCCCTAAATCCCATTTTCGAATTACACTTTTTAAGGGGGTTTCATAAATTTGTTCAAATTTAAAGTTTGGCTGTAATTCTGCCTCAGCTTGTTCTAAATTATTTCTTCGAAATGGTTCTACATACAACCAAGGAAAGTTTGGCCTGTTTGACTAAAACGAATATACAAAGCTTGACCTCAAGTTATTTAATTTTTGTAAAAAAAGAAAAGAGGGTACACAAGCAACTGAGTTTATGGATACGGTTCTTGTGCTTTGGCTCCTATATTCTTTGCATTCCGGTTTGGTCCGTATTGTTCAGAATGTAATGAGCAATCTAACTAATTTTTAACAAGGCGGTGCTAACTACAAGCGGTGCTCTGATTTCCTTTATATAGGAAACGCAAAGAGAGTACAAAATAAATGGCGCCGCTAGTTTGCGTGATAGGCAAGTGTGAAATATTTTGTTCGGGAAGCACTGTGTTCCATTTGTAACGCACATTGTGTCCTAACATCACACCATGATAAATCAACATGATTTCGCACATTGTGTCCTAACATCACACCATGATAAATCAACATGATTTGTAACACATTGCGTTTCACAATGTTACACTTTTGCATAGGGTACCAAAACGCATATTACACCGGCATATCGATTTAGTTTTTCAATAGCCTTCCATGTATGCTGGCCTTATATACATTTTTTTGGTTCCCGGTATGACGTCAGAAACATTCGACCAAGGCAACTTTTCATTCATTCGCAGCGCGGCGCTAAATCGAAACTGATTACGTAATGCGTCAATATTTACAACTTTGACGCATTAGAAAACCAAAACTATAAGTCCAATTGCGACATAGTTTCAATTGACGTAATGTATGTCTAGTATCATATCGATAAATGTCATAAAAGATTTTAGGTGGAGAGGCACTTTAACCGTGGGGAAGACCTTTTGGTCTACGAGATGGCCCTACGACATTTGAATACCAATAGTTTTCAATTCAATTTCGTGTAAGATCTAATGATTTTAAGTATTGGAATATATTGAGATGCCAATCTTCTACTATGATTAAGTTGAAGATTCTACACAAAAGCAGAGATAAGCATGAACTCTTAAGGAATCACAAAACACTTTCTCTACCTTGCTGATGTCTGTATGTGCGAAGGAGCATCACGCAGTAAAAAATTCTACTTGTTTGTGATTTTCGTATACATTTTAGCCATGTCATTTTTTACTCAGCTGTTTATAAACATATATGTTTACAAAAAAATTACAATATTTCAGTATTTTGTTCTGTATCCTCCATTTTTAGTTTTTGTTTTGAGACATTTATGCATAGTTTTGATAGTTCCATAAAATAATCAACCACTGCAATTGGCTAGTGTCTGTAACACCCTCTCCTTAAAAGCTGCGAAATCTTCCTTCTGTATCCTTTCCTGCAATGCTTCTTTCAACATTGTGGAAAACATTTTCTATTGGGTTCAGATCTGGTGATCTTGGTGGTAATACAATTTTGCATTTTTTTCATACTTTTGAATGGCTTCGGCCACCCTTTTTGTGTTACTTTATAAAAAAAAATTTTCCAGGCGAATTTGCAATTTCACCAAATGTTTTAGAAAATTTGAGTTCTTTGTGTGCAAAGTTGTATAAATAGTTGAAAAATTTGACTCCTTGTAATACATTGTAGCGAAATTTCAGAAAGAAGAGATAATGTCTGACGACGAAAAAACAATGGAAGAAAGGCCAGAAACCGTCACAGTATGTTTTAAAAATGAAAAAAAGGTTATTATTTGCTTACTTCATAATACTTAATATATACAAGTATTTTCCTTGCAAATATTTGTAACTTACATTAAAAATTAATGACTTATATACAGACTTTGCTTACAATAAAATTTCATGTAGTTGATGGTCAATCTTTACATTGGGAATTTCGTTTCAAATTTTACAGTATTTATTAGATAAAAAAAATTTTTACTGTTGTATTGTAAAACTTAATAGTCACATTCTTATACTCTTAGGAAATACCATTCGAAAAAAAATTTTCAAAAATGAGAAGGACTGTGGCAAAAGATTTTAATATAAAAGACATTAAGACAATTCTGTTCTTAAATAAAGAGAAAAGAAGCTCAAGGAACTTAGGTATTTATCTTATCACAATTGTAAATCCTACTGTTGCACAGTAAAAACTTGTTCATTTTTCAATTTATACGCTGCGAATAATACGCTGCGAAAATATATCATTCTTTAAATTATTGAAATTATTTGAAGACGGTATATTTCATTTCTGATTGTTAAGAAATCTTTTAATATTTTAATATAATGTACAGGCCAATATATTCAATTTTTATTTCTCTAATTCTCTTTCAGACCAGGGATGACTATTATTGTCAAAATCTTTAATAATAAGAAGAAAAGAAAAGAGCAGCAGAGGAGGGAATTTCCTTTTTATAGAAAGGAATTTCCCTCCTTTTGTAATAATTTCTATTCCGGAACGTTCCCAAATATGACAGTCAATAATAATAAGTAGTTTTATTGTGTTCAAATATGTTCTGTTGTTTTTAGTAGTTTTGTTGTTTTTAAATATGTTCGGCTGTTTGTTTGTTTCATATCTTATTTTAAATTATGAAATTTCAAAATGAAGGAAAAAAACGCAAATTTCCTATTTAGACATTTATATTGATAGAATGGAAAAAACTTTAAATTCTTCATAGTTGCTTCTAAAATATCTTCATAGTTGCATATCAGTATAAATTTAGGGTTTATTTTTGGCCGTTTGAGATGTTGATAGAATGGAAAAAACAAAAACGTTACCTGCCTGTTTATGCTCAAAATATAATTTATCTGACAAAAAGTTCTTGATTATTTGGATATTAATTTCACTTACTCTTCATAGATGTCTATATCAGTTTGAATTTAATGTTTCTCTTTATGTGTTATATTTCTGTTTAGACTTTTTGTATGTTGAAATTTTGAATTGTTGTGTGTAAATAATTATAGAGAATTTTAAAACAATCCTTTTTTGCTCTTTCTGTATCTAACTTCTTACACACAATATAATTCTCTAACTGAATTAACTAGACAATTTTGGGTCCTGATTAGAATTTGCAATTATTTATAAAGTAAATAAATTTTCAAAAAATTTTCAATTTTAAGTTATGCATATAATGAAATAGAAGATTGGTCAAATACTATAGAGTAGCTTTGGGGACTTCTAGGGTTTGTCAAGGCTCATTTTCAAGGGTTTTACAAGGGGCATCTACAAGGACCAATTGATTTTTCTTCGGTGTTTATAATTTCTGGTACTGCAACGTCTATGTAGCCCAGTCCGACCCTCCATTTTGTGTTGCAATTTTTAGGCATTATTGTCATAACTCTCAGACAATATAGAGTATGATAGTGGCCAAAAGTTCATTATGAAGCTTTTTGCAAGGGGCATCTTTTGGGGTGGTTAATTTTCAGATTGGGCGTGGCTGTGATGTCGTAGTGACGTCATAGTAGTGACGTCATTAATCTCACGGAATTTTTGAAAGTTAACTAATTGAATACATGATGAACATCAAAATGAATAACACCAAATGAAAGATCTCATCAAAGCGATTCGAATAGTGGTATTGATTTTTGTTTTATTTTAAGAATTGATGTTTTAATGATGTTTTCGATTTTTTTGTGAATCAGTGTCTACGAGGTTCCACCCCTCATTTTCTGTTTGACTTTCCAAACTTTTTTGTCATAACTCTCAAACAGTATGGAGTATGTTAGGGGCCAAAGGCTCATTTTGAAGGTTTTTGTATGGAGAAATTCTTAGGGTTGTTTTTTGTCGTTTTTGGGCGTGGTTGTAATTTCATGGTGATGTCATAGTATTGAATTGCAGTGATTTTTGAAAAACAATTAATTAAATACATGTTATAAATCAGAATATTTGATAATGAAAAGTTTTTTGGGAATCTGAGTCAATGCTCCAGAAACGTTGCCTAATTATTAAATATTAAAGACTGTCTCATTTGACACATGATGACTCAAATTGTTACAGTATAATGATACACAATGTAAAACAGGCTGATGAGAGAAAAGTGCACCTTATGTGTAGGTTAATACAGTAGTATTAATCCATTTAACTTATTACAGTTGGAAGTTTAAGTCAGTTAATACTGTTATTTTTTCTGGTAAAAGTTTGTTATTGTTTTTAATTTAGAATAAAATAAACATGTAATGATTTTAAGTCATTTTATAGATAAGAAATGATAGAAATAACGGCAGAAAGCATCAAGTAATTAATTTTTTATCTTTAGTATAAAATGTTGGAAAGAGCTCATTCAAATAAATGTCTTAAAGCAATGGGAGTAATATTTTTTCCCAGTTTGGGTCTCTGATCACTTGGGTGTAGTATGTCTCCTTTAGAGTCCAAAGTACAAAATGTGCCCAATTGACACCAACTGAGGCCATTTCAGCTTGCACCTGATGCCAGTATTCATGGCTCTCTCTCGGATGACCATCTTTCTTAAGGTAGAATGAACTTCCCTTAGAACCATCAGGTAGTTCATTTTGTATAATCTCACTGATGCTTGCATTTCTGTATTTGAATGGGCATTTAACTTCAATAACCCCAATATTTTCTGTGTCATCAGGAACTGAAATAATGCCATCTGAGCTGCTACCCAAAAAGCCACAAGGAAATAAACGGAGACCTGTTTTTGTTACAGTGTTGCCTGTTATCTGAGAATAGCTTTGGATTGCCATCTCCTCATGCATCTGACCCCACATAATGGCATCTTTTTTTCAAAGTGAATATTCCATTCTCAATGTTTTAAACAGGGAAGGAGGGTAGGGTCGGTTTTGATTTTTGTTGCGTTGTATGGCTTTCAAAACTGCCCCAAAATTGCTGCCTGTTAAGCGTAATCGCCTGAATTTAGCCCACATTGAAGAAAGCCTCTGTTCTACGGTGTTTGATGCCAACCATTTTTTCTGTGCATTACTCACTTTACATTTTTCAATGAATGCTTCTTTGTTGCTTAAGAAGTCTTCCACAAGGTCCTCTATTAGCTGCGGCATTAGCGGGTTATTGGCTTAAATTTGTGGCGGTCTGGACCAAGTATCCACTGAAAAGGACACGTAAGCCCTGTTTCACAAAGTTCTTTATAAAAGAAAGCCCTGTCTTCATCATCAACTTCAAGTGATGTTGCTGTATAGTCGGGCTTCGGCGTGGGAAACAAATCCGACATAGGCTTGAGTTCGACAAACTTTTTAGGTCTTGCAATCCAAGAGTTCGGAAGATCCGTTTTGGAAAATCCACGTTTATTAACAAATATAGCTGCAGCTGCCATATGACTACAGGTCCATTTTCCTCTCAGACACTGACAATGACTAGTAGAGATACACCCTTCACCGTCAACAGTCAGAGACACGTTGTAACACTTGTCCTTCAATGACGCTCGTACAACAGCTTTAACTTCATGGCCAATTAACTTGACATCAAGAACAAAACTTGACTTGAATTTCAGCTCCCCTTTTTCCAAACAGTTTGTATCCTCTTTGAAAAACTTGACCATTCCGGTAAGTGATATTACCTCCGCCATAACTTCTATATTGACTGACTAGGCTTTCCGAGCGCAAACACTTCAAGTGTCGATTCCAAGCAATTATTTAAGTACTGAACAGGATAGCACGATTTAATTGATATAAATACGCCAAGTGAACTTTGTAAAAGCAAGAATTTGGAAAAAAATTTGTTAATATAGACGTCAGCTAAGCTCGAACGTTTACAACCGCAGTATCTTGTTGACATTTATTCTGGTGCGCCTTGTTGCTACCAAGGTATCTAGGCACGCGCTGATTGACCAATCAGGCGGCACTTCACTTAAAAGCCGAATAGAATTATACCACGAAATCTATGATCTTCTTCGCTGCTTCTCCACATATTACATCCTGCATGGCGACGATTCTCTTTTTGAGAGGCCTTTCACAGTTTAAACTCTTAAGCTGTCTTCCTGCTAGTTCAAGGATTTAGATTTTTGGTGCCTATTTGCAATTTTCAGCTTCTCATTTGTAAGATTTATTAAGAGTTCAACATCCTGTAATTTGAATTCAATTTCGGTAGTTTTGGCATTTTCTGGGTCGTCCGGGGCGAAACCATTTTCATCAACACTAATACTGTTGCTTCTTTCTACAACAGAGATATATGAGCTTGGCTAGACTCTCTCTTCCTAAGGAGAAACAACTGAATGCTTTGAAACAGGGTACAGCTTCAAAAGGGAAAGATATACTCTAGTTATGTTATACCTGAATGTATCATAAAATGTAAGGTTGCTTTTGTTACAGAGTTACCTTGCAGCCAGAAGCAGATCCAGACTACAGCAGTAGCATGAGTCAGATTTTGCAGAAAGAAAAAAAATTAAAACCATGAAAATCTTTGAATAATAGTTTCTTTGTCAAATTCTTCAGAAATTTCTGCCCTAAATCTGCCCCCCCCACCAATATCTGTAATAGGACTGAAATCTAATCGCCAATTCATGCTAATTTTCTAATGATAATCTTCCTGTTTGCATATTTTGTAATCGCTGTTTAGAATCATTAATTAGTTCATAATCTCAATACGAGTTGCACGCAATCTCTTGCTGTCGATCTACTCAAACCCCATTACATACCAACAGCATACGTATGACAGATCATGTATTTTGCTGACTATCATTACGTTTATGCACAGCCCTTTCCCGTGGCGATTCTATGTATTTATTTGGTCCGTATTTTCTGAATCCAGTAGCTTGTTTATCACCCGAGAGCCAATCACCACGTGCTTGAACTATGCAAACTTCTTGTAAACCAATCAGCGTTTACTTCACCTCTGCAATTTTAGCACCATCATAGGTCAGATTTGAATTATGGAATAAAAAGCCGAGTTGACCTCTGCAGTTGTTTATGCAACCAATAAGAAGCCGAGTTGACCGATGCAATTGTTAACAGCAACCAATAGGATTAAAATTGGCCTTTGCAGTTTCACCTGTGTAATTTTACTCATTTGAACTCGAAACATTGATCACAGTTTTAAACATGAATACTATATATTCTGGGGTTCTGCTGAAGTTTTCAGCTAGCTAGCTTTGCAGGGCAGTTGATCTTCATTTAATAAAGGAAGTGATATTTTATTTCAAATCGTTGAATGTATAATTTGCTCAGTTAAACAGATTCTACCTCATGTCAGATTAAGTGGTAAGAGCCAGGCCACAAATATGTTAGGAAGCCTGGTCGTTGATGAAGTCATATAAACCTCTGATTATAGGATATTGGCTCGATATTCATGTGGGCACATGCTGCCACAAGGCTGCTACCCTTCCACTAGCACTCATTATTTTTATAAATCAAACCTTGGGCCTAGGAAAGACACATCTTTACAAAAAGTATAAAGGGCCTGCTGCCAAGTTTCTGTAGCTGCTTGGTATATCTTAGAGTTATCTTAATTTTCATGAATATTAAATTGCAAATCGATTGGTGGTATTTGTTTTGGGGTATCACCTAGTAATGACGTCACTATGACCGGTTGAAGTTTTGGCACATTTCTGTATTAGTGTAATTGTTCTGACAAGGCCCGATCTGCCATTTTGTGTTTTGACTTTCCAAGCTTTAATGCCATAACTCCTTTACTGTATGGAGTAAATAAGGGGCCATGGGCCATTTTGAAGGGTTTCACAAGGATGATCTGCTGGTGTCAGTTGTTTTTTAATTGGGCGTAGTTGTGACGTCATAGTGACGTCATAGTTTTGTTTTGATGATTTGTTACAGTTTCTTATTGAGTGTGATACTATACATCAAATAAATGATACCAAATGAAAGATCTCCTTGACGCAATTTTAATGGCACTGTTTCATGTGGGTTTACTTAAGCAATTGATGTTTCTAGGGCGTTTTTAATTTCTGGTACCGGAACGTCTATGTAACCGGGTCCCTCCCTCCATTTTGTGTTGCAGTTTCTAGGCATTATTTTCATAACTCTCAAACGGCATGAAGTATGTTTGGGGCCAAAGGCTCATTTTGAAGGGCTTTTCAAGTTTTTTCTGATCATTAATAATTTATAGAGAACCCCGTTTTGTTTTTTTCATTAATTATAATATTATTATTTGCTTCTTTTCAGTACAGGACCAATCCAGAAATGTCAACGCGACGCTGTTTGGCCTATGTGCTGTATTCGCTTTGTGTTCTACAGTAATACGCAGACATAATTAGGGCATTAATCATACTGAACAATAATGGATTGATAAATATATTGTTGTTTAATGGTATCTATTTGCGTTAACAGTACTGTCAATCATTCAATTCCGTTGAGATTCATCTCCTTTGAAATTGATTATGTTTTTGAATTAATTAGTGGTTTCCCTGTGAGCAGGCCTTTTAACATACGTTTGAAGAAGGCTGATTTTCTAATAAACATCCATCCATCCTTTATTGTTCCTTTGGCCTTACTAATTTTTCATTCCTCAATAGCTCCAGATTATCGATGATTGTAATTTTGATGAATGTTAAAATGTTGATATGTTGCAAAATTGGTTCAATTTATTGTTAGTGTAATTTGTTTGCATCACTAAAATAAATTGTCATTTCCCATGAGATGTTCTCTTTCATGTCGTTTCTCTATCGTGGATTGATCATGTGATTTATCTGTTTTAAAACTAAATTGAAAAATATTCCTGCCAAAAGAGTCTTTGAACATGTTAGGTGAGTATGTTAATTTTTTCGTTCTTAGCCAGTAAACTTAGAATTTAAAAAGAGATGCATTCCATGTTCGAAAAACAAACACAAACAAAGATTTTGTTTTTAAATTAGTTAATAAGGATCAAGCAATGTTTGATTTCCGTTTGAGAAGGCAACTGAAAAGATAATGTTCGAGTCTAAATGTAAAAGTGCCCTTTCGATTTTTTAACATTAGGCTATCTACCTTAAAAGTTGACTGGAGAACACTTTACTATTGTGGGGAAATGGGGCCGCTAGCCCCTGACCCTTGCTTTCTTCTTGACCTTTCCTTTTTATTTACAAGCTATCTTTTATTGAGTTGAATTTTTTGTATGATTTTGATTGATGGTGATTGTTGCATGGCTTTTAAATTGAACATTAGAAGAGTAGAGATGCAAGAGTAGAAGTATCATGAAATTTGAACAAATTCAAGGCATCGAAGCAAATTCAAGGAATCAAAGCAAATTCAAAGAATCAAAGCAATATTAGAAAGAACTCTCAGGTGAAATTATAAACACTTATTTCCTATGAACGATGAACACACCCATGAACCCTCAAAAGTGAACATTGAAGAAATTATGAAATTTATACTTTAAATTACTTTATCTTTTTGAGTTAATATATACATTCCTCTTATATATAACGTAATCTTTCCTTTTGTTTTATTGAATCTTTGGAACATTTTGAACCCATTGGTAATTCTAATCCTTCAGCCAGAGGGGCGAATCTAGTACCTCTGGCCCCGAAATTGATCCTGAGAAGGATAATTTCTACAATTATTTCACAAAATCATATATTTTTTTAATAAATTGTAAATTGCACTCCTTTTCAATAAGAAGCAGTAGATGGAGCTCAAGGCAGGCTTAATTTTTACGAAAAATCAGTGGCTGGAGTGAGTGATCTTGATTTGTTCCTTAATTTATAGGGTGTAAGCAGTGGAGTTGCTCTAGCTATTGCATTCTATGGAGTTGTTCAGGCCTTAATTGTCTTTTAAGATAGTGTTTGTAATTGTTTTTGAAAATTCATTGACAAGGTAACCCTGGATTGCAAAAATGCTCTAAAACTTTATCAATTAGGTTCGCAAAATTGTTCATAGTTGTTAACATTTTTATTATTGTTAACTAATCCACAGAGAGGCATGTTTTTCTTAGCAATGCCAGTATGAATTTCATAACTGTTTTACTTCTTCACAATTTAACATTGACAATGATTACACTGAATTGATCTTAAGGTTTGATTTGTGTATAGGACAGTTTAGAAGTGAACATGCATTTCATCAACATCTTCTTTGAATGCTCCATATATAGAAGCTATTATATCAGGAAGATATAGTAGGTTTTTGATGTTTTTAAGCATGATTTTATGATTTTCAATGATACCTGCTCAGTTTGACGACAATAATTTCACCTTAACAAATGTTTGTTACTCTTTATGATGATAGGAAGCTTAATAGAGGTTGACTGTTTGCGTTAGAAATTTTGGAATATCTTTCAGGAAATCGTGAAAGAAAAAAAACAAAAAAAAGGTGGATGTTGATGTCAGGGGAAGAAAGAAGGTATGATCTCATGACTTTGCATTATCTAACAGGAGTAAGAAACCTTTGCTCATTTTCTTATTGCCACAGGTGGTAAATATTTTTCAGCAAAATTAATATGAACTTCATAAGTGGACGTTCTGCTTGACCTGAATTTAGAGCTCAATTAAATTTTTTTATAATTTTACTTTCTTCCACCCGACTCCTTAAACCATTAGGCTTTGTTGGAATTAATCAATAATTCATTAAAATGATTATTCTAAATTGATCTTGAGGGTTAAGCTTGTGGTTTAGACCGATTAGAACTGTCAGTTTTAATATATTCATTGGGTGTTTTGTAGGTGCTGCTCTACCAAACAAAATTGGGCGCAATGAAGCGCCTGATTTGTATATCCCTGCTGTATTTTCATGCTTAGTGACACCTCTTCCCCCCCCCCCTTCTACTCTCGTACAGCCGCTATTTCCTCTCTCCTTAAAGCTCTGCTTAAAATGGCTCTACACACTTTTTTAATAAGAATTCCTAATTTTTTGTCGAGCCTTAATATTCTTAAAAATTTTCAATTTTCAGCCTTAGATTATTCTTAAACTATTATTGCTCGACACAAGGTCTAAATTCGCTTTAAGATCAAAGAAAAACATTAAATCTTTCTGATGTGTTGCTGCATCATGAATGTAACAAGAGCAAACAAACAAAATGTGATGCTAAAATGCAAAATATAATTACACAAATACGATCCTATTCAGATCCAGATAAAGGAAAAATTTCATCTTGATGATGGTTGAGCCTGGCATTATTCTTAAATTAATTTTAAATTTTAGCAATTTCGAGCCTCAATATTCTTATAGAATCTATGAGCCTCAATATTCTTATAAAAAAGTGTGTATTCTCAATGAACCAGCCTTCAGTTTCTTTTATATAAACATCAATGTTCGGAAATGCTCCCCTTCATCTATGAGCCCATTCAATAATAAGCTACAAAAAGCGTGATAAGAGATTGAGCCCCTTGATCTGAACAGATTCCAAATTATGTCTCCATGCACACACACTTTGTTGGTGATATTATTGAGAGCGCTTCATTTCTCATATTAGCAATGTTTCAATATCTTTGTTGCATCTCACAAGTGGCAGCTCAGTAATAACGTTTCTCTTCTCCCTACAGACCAGGGATGAGGATAATCGTCAAATTTTTAAAGAAAAAGTAAAAGCAAGAGAAGAGCGAAGAAAAAAAACTTGAGACACCCGGGGCCTCTTATCATTTCTCTGGGAATAATAAACTTTTCATTTATCATAATTATAAGTAAGTAGTTTGCTTTAAATTTATAGTTTGTTATTTTATTTATTTTCAAGATTTTAGATATTTTGTTAAGCTTAATTTGTGAATTGTATATATATTTAAAGATGTTCATAGTTGTTGTGTTTGTTAATTGTTCAAATAATAAAATTTTAAAATAAATATAAAGAATTCCACATTCTTTTTATATAGGCATTAAAACTTGATGAAATAGTAATAGTAAACCTTACCCTGTCGTTTCCTGTCAAATTATAAGACAAATATTTATTGTTTATGTAAATGTTAGTTTTTTCATTTAATGTTCATAGTTGTACTTTATATCAGTTTAAATTTAAGGTTTACTTGTGGTTATTCGAGATTTTGACAGAATGGGAAAAGCAAAATAATTACCTGGCTGTTTTTGCAGAAAATATAAATTATTTGCTAACAATTTTTTGATTATTTGTTTATTAGTTTGATTTAATATTGATAGTTGTCCATATCAGTTTGAATTTAATGTTCATATTTAGGTGTTATCTTTGTGTTTAGGATTTTATAAATTATTATAGATAATTTAATTTAAGATAATTTGTGCGGTTTAAAATATTTATAGAGAAATTAACAGAAAATCTTTTGTTGCTCTTTCTGTATCTAACTTTTAGGTCCTGATTGACGTTTAGTTCTTCTTGAAGTTGATTATAAAAGGAAAATCTATAGAAATATTTCCAGTTCACAGCTACAAATATAATGAATTAGGAGATTGATTAGGGTTTGCAGTATAAAAGTGGCTGGCTAAAAAGATCATTGCCGCCTATTTTGTGTTCTAATTTCTAAGCTTAATTGTCATAACTCACGAAAACTATAGAGTAGCTTAAGGGCCAAAGGCTCATTTTCAAGGTTTTGACAAGAGTCACCTTGCAGCATATCACTATTTACAAACTCAACTGTTTGTGATCCTAGCTCTAAAGGGTGCATGAAAAGAGGGGGCAGTATCTAAATAAAAAAGATCAGTGGGAGATGAAGGTTAGTCACAGTTGACATATTGCAAAGAATATTGATAACAACAATAATAATATCACAGCAAAGTTGATGTGAAAAGAAATGTTGAAGTAATGCTACTAGAGACCACTAAAGGTCTAGAGACCACAAATATTCATTTGCTGTGGTTTGTCAACAAATTTTAAAACTTGTCTGCAAATGAAGAATGGTTCACACATCTTGTCCACAAATTGGACCTTAAAACCCCCTCTGGAGCAAAAAAGCTAGTGACAGCCCAACTGATGGCCATTGGGTTGGTTCCTGCCACCAAGATCGATGTGGCATCATAATAATTTTGACTATTGTAAATTCTTTTGAACATAAATTTGAAGAAGCATTGATTTATAGTCTTAATATACAGACATTTTCTTTCAGTTATCACCTTAAAAATCAGATCTGTTTAAGACCAGACCTGGAATGATATACTGAAGTTGTTTTGATAAATAAAAACATAGTTTGAAAATATGGCTAATTAATGACTTTCCCTTGAATCTGAAGGCGATACATCTATTCCAGGTATGATTTGAATCATTTTCTGAGTATTTGTTCTTTTTAAAATTGTAAACTAAAGCTTTGTATGGAAACCATCCAGTTTGTCATTGATTGTTTTTCATTCATTTCCTAGTTGATAAGGAAGAAGCCACTATAGAAGAAATTCCTCTTGAGTCAACTGATGCATTGAAGCAATTCAAGACGAAAAGTCATGTCAAACATCTGCTGACCTTTCTTTGTACATGCAAAGAAATTGCTACAAAGAAAGAGGCGAAAGATCTGTGTATTGAATAATAATTGTGTATTCAAAAGAGTTCTACAACAACAAAGAAAACGACTAAGCTTTAAAAAGTTAATTAGGCAATTGGAAGGGGTAATCTCCTCTAACTTATTAGATTTTATTAAAAACAGCTGACCCTCTCTTTGAAAAAAAGAAAGGGAGACAATATGATAAAGCTTTCAAAGCCTGGCCTTTAACGTTTTATCACATCAGTGGAAAGGCATACAGATTTCTTGCTAAGCTCCTTTATTTACCTTCAAAATCATTATCAACCAAACTGTCTCTAGATTTGCTTCAGATGTCAGCTTTTCGATTTGTATGTTCTCAGACAATGTGTTCAAGTTATGTCTGACAATGCTAGAATTTGCACTCTGGTCATGGATGAAATTTCATTGAAGTCCCTTTTCTTTTACAATGTAGTTCAGGACTCTATTATTGAGTTTGAAACTCTTGATGATGGTAGTCTTGTTGCTAATTCCTCGTTAGTACTTATGGCCTGTCGTGTTCTTGAAAACTGGAAGCAGCCTGTTGCATAATACTTTGTGAATGAGGCTTGTAGCAGTGCTAAACTAGAGAGTTTTGTAGATGAAGCACTTGTGCAGTTAGAGTCAATTGGTTTGAAGGTTGAAGTAAGTGATCAGGGATCCAACTTTTCAAGTTTCTATGATGCTATGGGATTCACAGTAGATAGGCCATATTTTCAAATGCATGGCAAACAAGACTCTACCATTTTTGATCCAACACATTTGTTAAAGTCAAAAAGGCACAATTTATTGAAGAACAATTTTACTTTTGATGGAAAAACTGTGTCTTGGTCAGATGTTAAATCATTTTATTGAAAAGAGAAGAAGCTTGCAATAAGAACTAGACCTAAGCTGACAGATGAGCATATCAATCCAGCACAATTTGCAAAAATGAGAGTAAAGCTAGCAGCACAAGTATTCAGCCATCCAGTTTCTGCTGGGTTATTTACATATGTTACACTTCAACGATTGCCATCTACAGCCTTTCTAAATTTGATTCAATCTTTGATTGTTGCAACTCATTAAGTTTCAGGGATAATGAAATATTTCAACGGCCTTTAACTGCTTCCTCTCCCCACCTGAAAGAAATGGAAGATGGTATAAGATTTTTACAGTCAATAAAAGAAGTTAATGGAGCAACAGAAGATAACCATACAAATAAATTAAGGTGTTTAAAAGGCTGGTGCATTACATTGAAGGCAATTTCGAAATTGTGGCATAAATTAAATGAAGAGCATGATGTCACCTTCCTGGTTACAAGACAGCTTGACCAAGATCTCCTTGAAATATTTTTTGGATTCTGACAATCCAACCCCAAACCAATTCAAAAGTACATATCGTAGGTTGTTCTTCACAAATCTTTTAACAATCTCAGCTGCCAATTGTGAGCAAGATGAAAATGAACCCCTTGCACAGTTATAAGATATAAGAGAGCTCCCAGAGAGAGCTCCTGACTTTTCATGTTGTAGAAAAGACACTTAAAATGGTTTCCAATGACTACATCAATGAGCAAGTTGAAACCAGAGTTTTCAAAGATAATGCTATGGCATATGTTGCTGGTTATTTGCTGCGCAAAACATACAGCAAGCACAAATGCGAAAAGTGTTCTGTTCTCTCAAATAACAATGGAATGTAAAACCAGAATGTATTTATGATGTTTAAGGCTTATGAGTCTAGCAGTACATTTTCTGGACTTGTTGTACTATCTGCTGACATATTTGCCTGTGCCAAGAAATTGAGGAAAGCCTGTGCCAAGAAAAAGATGCTTTTAAGGAATATTTCAGCAATATAAAGCAAACATCTGGGATTGGAAAAGGGCTGAAAGAGATTCTTGCCACCATAAACGTGAATGTTCCAAAATTTTGACATGTTTTTTTGATGGAACTTTTTATTATTGTCTGAAGTATGTTAACAGAGAACTTGTAGAAACAAAGAAAAAGAATATAAAATACAAAGAGAAGAATAGAACCTCTTGTCTGCCTTTTGACTTATGAATGTTGCTTAATATTATATATATGTGTGAGTTGCTTGGTTCAATGGAATGATCATAATTCCTTTTGATGCCGTAAACTGGAGCTCGATTCTGACCAAGCAAGGTATTGTCATTAACATTCGTCACCATTCATCTTTTGCCCTCCGCTAATGTGATAATTCTTTGTTCGCGTATTCTAAAACAGATTCTTTCTAAATTTTTAAAAAAACAATTTATTTAAAATCTTCGCATATAATGTATCTAATAGGATTCCTTTGCTAGCCAAAAATAAAGGGCATTGGAATTTTGCATTTGCTCTCAAAAAAATGAATTATTTATGTACATATACACTCTCTTTTTGGTAGCAGGTTAGACCAATCAGTCTAACAAGGAGATATGAGGTGCCTCCACCATCTCCTAGCCTAGGGGTTGTGCTTTGGGCAAGCATGAACTACCTCTTCAGCCATCCTTACCAGGGATACGGTAGACAGTAAGCTTCCCTAAGTATTGCAGTAAAGGAAAATGCCCTCTCTTAGAAAAAGTATTTTTCTTGATTTACATACAAACATTCTTATTTTCGGAAATTTAATGAAATAACAAATTCGCGCTTGAAACCAATGGAGACACTTGTTGCACACAGTCACTATTATAAGTAATTGCTTCATCCTAATAAAAAGGTCCGGTCTGCAGCTGACAACTAAAAATTCATTTTAGTTGTTTTTAAATATTCAAAATTTGTACTGGCCACTTTTCACCTCCCAGACTGTTCGTATTTTTTTGTGCAGAGAAGTTACAAGACTTTATGTTCTCAGCGCAGACCAAAACTTTAGTCTAGCTTATGTCTAGTTGCACTGAGGAGCCCTGAAATTGGGCAAAACCAGAATTAGCTTTCAAATGACTAAGAATACATACCTTTGTAGATAATTTCCAAATTTGATGACAATGAAATGTAAACTTTTAAGCCATTATTCACTCTTTATATCACTGCAGCAACTGATCCAGCTGGTCCTCCAGACCTCTGAATCAAAACGAGTTTATGGCAGAAAGCTATTGGTTTTTTTGTTCTAAATTTGTGCATGCAAACATCAAAGGTGTTCACCTTCTGCGTATTTTATATTTTAGAGAAACTTTTTTTGAGATAAACATATTAATGTATGCAATCAATTTTGTGAAGAATAAGAGTTGAAATTTAAAATGCACTTCACTCTCCATATTTAAAACTCAGCATTCGTCCTCCAGACCTCTGAATCAAAACGAGTTTATGGCAGAAAGCTATTGGTTTTTTTGTTCTAAATTTGTGCATGCAAACATCAAAGGTGTTCACCTTCTGCGTATTTTATATTTTAGAGAAACTTTTTTTGAGATAAACATATTAATGTATGCAATCAATTTTGTGAAGAATAAGAGTTGAAATTTAAAATGCACTTCACTCTCCATATTTAAAACTCAACCTCTATCAAAGGAGAAGAGAACAGAAATTTATTTGAGAGTAAAGGCTTGTGTGTTTTTAAAGGCTGGCCTAATTAGCAACAAAAATATAATGCTGTATATAGCTTTCAAAATAATGTTTGATACATTTCTATTCTTTCAAAGATTGCTTTAATTGGTTTATTGCTTGAAACTTGCATACCTAGTTTCAGGAATTCTGTTGTGACAAGACTTTCAAGTCATGGAAGACAATGGTTTTGCTTCTAATAAAAAAATTCACAAATGTAAAAACGTTTCAAAAATGCTTTGACAACTAGAGCAGTTACTTTATAAAAGAAATCAGTTTTGGTCAAAATCTGAATAATCAGAGACATTTTTGTCACACTCGAAAACAGTTGTGTCCAATAGACGTTCAATATCTGCCAAGAGACTGCTTTCAGTTGGTAAACCTATCATTGAGTCGTCACACACTTCCATCCATTAAGAAGGTATTTCGCCAGCTGCATTTTTATTTTCTTCAGGAAACTGCAGTTGCATCTCACCCACATCAATATCTGGGAACACTTGCCCTAACATGTACAATATGTTCTGTGCATGTATAGTCCTCCATACTTCTACTTTAGACATCACATCTTCCAATGTAAATATCTGATTGCAATTTTTTCAAAAATTGATTTACTTGAAACTCTGAAAATTCAAAATCAGGCACAACATAGGACATTGTTTTACCTTGCCTACTTTGGATGTTCTGCATTTTCTGTAAATAGTGATTGCAATAGACCCTTTTCACAATCTATTTGACAACGAGGACGAAGAACGGAAACGAGACAGTTGTTGTTCCAACATCACTCTCTCATCAGAAATTTACTGTGAGACGCGATCGTAAAAAGTTTTCTTTCGGATTTCGGAAATTTTCAGAATATATTATGATTTATATCATGGAGCAGTTCGTTGCGATCCTTCCAGAAGGCAAGGCAGTCACTTGTTTGGAAGATCTTGGCACCTTTTCCTTAAAACAGCTCAAGCAAGTATTGCGGCGCTACAACGAGAAGACTTCCGGGGTAAAAGCTGATTTGGTTCTTCGGGTTTATGCCATCTTTTGCCGCTTGAAAGAAAATATTTCTTCATCATCCAACGCCACTGATTCCTCGGCAAGTAATTCATCAGGGGCTTGGACATATGATGCCATTTTGAGTAGAAATTGCAAGCATTTGCCTTGGACATCCGACCTTCGTGGAACGCCACCATTTAGTTTTATTCAGCTGTACGATTACCTTGTTATTCGTACACTGAAATTCAAACATATTTTGTTAAAGAGCACATCCTATAAGAAGCTTAAAGCCTTCCAATTTTTTTATGAAGGCTCTATAAAAAAAATTGAAATTGCCAAGGATGAGAAGTTCACTTTTTTTGATGTGCGTAAAGGCTTCAATGAAAAGAACTCTGTATAAGACCATTGTTCAAATTCTTCTGATGATGTTTGTTCCGCAGCTTGCACATGTCCTGCTGGTATTGGGTTGGGGGGTTTTGGTAATTGTAATCACATTGGTGGGGTTTTATTTGCTCTTGAAGATTTTAACCGCAAGGGCCTACAACAGTCTCCAGATCCTGTCTCTTGCACTTCGAAATTGTCTGCCTGGAATGTTCCAAGTGCTTCAACACAAAATCTTAACCCAGAGCCTATAGACAAGGTTGTGATTCAAAAGATCAAGTTTGGGAAAGACAATGCTAAATCTGATGCGCCTAGATCCTGACCCAAGATCATCTTCTGATAGGCAACTAGACGAAAGTAATCTTGAAATTTTGAAATCAAAACTCTCTTCTTTGATTGCTAACAGTTGTTTTTTTGGTTTCCATGACAAAGCTACACATGAACAAGCTGGACAAAATGAACTATCTTCACCGAATGAACAATTATCTCTTGAAATTGTGAGCTCTTTGGATGCGCCATATGAATCTGCAGATGTTGAATTACTTGAACTTTCTGACTCTTCCCCTTTTAGTGATATATATGATATATCATGTAATCCTTTCAAAGAAATGATGGATATTTTTTGTGATAATTTCAATTTAACCAAATATGAAGTTGATGCTATTGAGAAATCTACTGGTGGTCAAAGTTCTAATGAAGAATGGAAACAGCAAAGAAAGTACAGAATTACTGCATCCAATTTTTATTCTGCTGCTGTGAACACTGTGGAGCCATCTTCTAAATTGCAATCTATGTTTTATGCCACATTTACTTCTGCAAGTACTAATCATGGAAACAGATTTGAAAGCCATGTGAGAGATCTTTATATAAAGACCATGATTGATCAAGGTTTTCCAATTAATGTTGCTGAAGTTGGTTTAGTCTCACACACACAACCTTATCTTGCTCTTCCTTGGATGGTATTATATCTTGTAGAAGTGAAAAATGGGGCACACAACCTTATCTTGCTGCTTCCTTGGATGGTATTATATCTTGTAGAAGTGAAAAATGGGGCTTAGAAATAAAATGCCCATTTTCTAAATATAATTCTTCTTTGGATGATGCAATCAAGGACAGAAATTTCTTTTTAAAACAAACTTCAGAAGGAGTGAAATTAAAGAGGAGACATAAATATTATTTTCAAGTTCAAGGAGAGATGTTTTGTGCTAACCTGAGAAGAGTTGATTTTGTGGTATGGTTTGGTGACAACAAACCACTATTTATTGAAAGTATCTTCTATGATGAAGACTTTGTTTTAAATTTTATTTTACCCAGGCTGAAGTTCTTTTACTGTAGAGCTGTTCTCCCAGAGTTCTTTACAAGGAGAGTTCAGCGTGCAATGAAGCTTTACTTGCAAGATGGCTGGGAAAGTTATGAGAAGAAAAAGGCAAAGAAATAAACATTTATTTTGAAGTTTGAAATTTAATATTCTAGGCTTACAAAGTCCTTTAACAAAGTTATTTTGCATCAAGAGCACATGGAGCTCCAAACACTTTCAACATTACAGATATAAGCTAACAAAGTTTGTTCAAGTGCAAAAACAATATTTACTTGGAAGAGAGTATAACATTGAACATTTCCTGATGAAGGGACATACATAAAATGTTGAGTTGCAACTTATAACTGTCCTGTTCTATACACCTTGAATATGGCTCTGCGGTTAAGGTTAGACCTTTAGATACAAGGATCAGTGGTTTGGGTCACTGATATACTGAACTATCACTTGAAGCAAGGACAGTCGCAAGCTCTCTGTATTACCAAGCATAGGAATCATAAGATGTGGTCACATCAAGAGGAAGAATCTGGCACTGCTTGATAAGCACAGCTGCTCAATCTCTTTAAATCTACCTTTGAACAATTTTTTGGGGGTACAGAACTTGAAAATGGCTTTGAAAAAAGCAAACATTTCTCAACATACTACTACTTAAAGCTTTTTCGTCTGACATTCCTCAGAGCATAAAATGTTAGAATAAGGGGCTGAAAGAACACGATGGAAAATATATACCCAGTTGTGGATCGAAATATGCCAATCAGAAAATGTCTATATGGCATCATGCACTATATTACAGACAGATGAACATTAAATTTCATTGACTTGTCATATCTTACCAACTTGCATTTAGCAAGGTGTGCTAAATCCGGCAACAATGAGCAGCTGGTAACTGTGAAACCCCCGTTTCTTACGGCTAATACAGGAATTTTCCTGGGGGACCGGAAGACCAAGCTACTTATGAAATACTTATGAAATTGGTCGTATCTAAAATATGTTGTTCCAGTATGTGTAAAAATATTGTATGTAAAAGAGTGACTTATACAAAAAAATTGCATAAATACTGAAAAGTATAAAATGCAAAGTGAAAGCAAAGATCAAGATTTTTGTCAACAATATTAAAGCTTACAAAGTATTAAATCTAATAATCAGAGCAATAGTAAAATTTATTAATCTCTATTCAGATTTATTGTTAGAATTTTGAACTAGAAATGGCTGAAAATTAGTTAGAAGGCAACATACTGAAAAAATTTGGTTTGAAATAGGTTGTAAACTTAAAGATATGACTCCATCCAGGATATGAAAATTCTTTACACGACCAATAGCTCTTTCAACATGAATGCGTACTGCTGCAATTCGGGCTGTTTCTTCTGTTTCTTCTGCTGTTAGCTGGCTTCTAGTGCCTTTGAAAGGAGGAATATTATGAGATACACCAGAAGGAAGAATATTAGAGATGTCAAATCCTCTATCGGCCATGATATTGTCTCCATTCTCTAAAAGTTGCAAAACACCACACTTCTGAGTAATTTCTTTATCTGACACTCTGCCAGACCAAAGCTTTGAAACAAAAGTAATACAGCCTGTTGGTGAGATTCCAACAAGGGCTTTCCAGGTGTTATGATGTTTGTATTGGGACCAAGTTTGAGACTGAGACTTAAGTGAGGATGGTATTTCAGTAAAAATTTCGGTACAGTCAATAATGATTCTCGTAGTAGGATAATCTTTGAATTGCTGTGGCATATCTTTTCGTATTCTTTCTTGAGATGGAAACGGAAACAAAAGAGGAAGTTCATGAAATAAAAAGTTAATCCAACTTGTAAAAATTTTTGAAGCATGTCCAGTAGAGATTCCAAATCTGTCTGATAAATCATTCATAAATAAACCAACTTTGAGTCTCATTAATACAAAAATAAATTCTTCTAATTGCGAAAGGCTGCGTTTTGGACCAGGTTTCTGAGATTGAGAGGACTGTTGATAGGAAAGATCTGAAACCTTGGAAGATGTAGGCCCACGCCAATAATGAATACGATCAAGCTTTGGCTGGAAATACTCGAACAAGGCACGAAGAGAAGAAAAATTTTGAAAGCCAGTATAAAATCTGACAGCAGCATCATCTTTTTCCAGTTTATCGATTGAGAAGAGAGAGCTTTTCAGCTGAGAAATTTGTTGTTCCAAGTCTCCAATTTGTTTGGATAGTTTGTCAACTTGCAAAGAGAGTTCCTTGGTCTTTGTTGAAAGATGGTCATGCTGGTTACAAATATTAAAAAGATCGTTCTCGTGAGGTGTATAAGAGGAGTATTCATGGTCGCACTCCTTGTTTTGGTCAAAGGAAGAAGGAATGTAAATTGGAGAACTGACAAAAGAAAATTCAGTTTGCGTAGAAACTGAAGTTGTTGGCGAATCATCAGTTGATAATTGTAGCGAGGATTCCATTACATTAGAAGCCAAGGGAGAAACATCATCATCGAAGATTGCAGTCGCTGATGCAGAGGAAGAAAACGTATGTTCAGCTGGCGCTTTGCGGGATACTCTTGGCAACCGATCTACGCTACTGAACAGATTCAAAGAAGGGACAGCTCCAGTTTTCAGACGCCACTGATTTGGATACCTGCTGATGTCCGCATCAGTAAAATGGTCTTCACAAAGGAATGTAGACAGTGTAACATTAAAACCGTCACGTCCATCTGCACGTTTGATGAGGTTACACCAACGAAGCTTCTCGGGGTTCTTTTGTGGGAATCTGAAGAAATGTAGGCCGGATGGCGATCCATCAGTTTTGTAAAAGGTGTTATAACACCCATAAGCCGCGCATTGCCTACCGAGTGATCTTTTCTTCGTCTTTGAAACACCTTCTACCATTTCAACGTCTTTATTCTCCATTTCCAAAAACTTGTCTTGGTTTTAACGCAAAAGAATAGTAGATATTTTACGTAGAAGCGCCGTACAAGATTTATGCCAAACAACAACTGTCTCGATTTCATTAAACACCCTTGTTGTCAAACGGCCAAAAAAGGGATTGTGAAAAGGGTCTATTCATTGATCTTTGATCTTGGTACTTCTCTATTTCTAGATGTTTCCTTTGCATTTATTCTCAGTCTATATTGCAAAGCATCCTCACAATTTGCATCACATTCACATTGCAAATCCTTGGCAAATCCTCTAGCAAGTTGTCATTTTGATAAGAGTCAATGTCAGTTAATCTGTCGGGCAATCTTGTCGACTCAGAATATCGATTTGTACCATTTAATTTTTCTTGGGCACCATGATACAACATGATTTTGTATCTTGTGGACAAAGTTTATGTTGAATTTCAAGAGACACGTTTGGATTGGATATTGAATGGTGATAAATTGACCAGATTGCATTTTTGGTGTCTTCAACTGACTTCTTTGCATTTTCTCTTATAGCTTTCCCAAAAAACCTCTGAAAAGAATCAATTCTATCTTGTGTCAGTCGCCCTTTGCCCCCAACAGTCTTCCCATCTGCCAGCTTTTTCCCTTTCATATCACGTACAAGATTTCGCAGTGCATTGCCCATTCTTTTCTGGATATGTCCAAGACAATCCTTTTTTTATACGATATCTCTCACCAAACTGCTATCTCCATCTCCAACGAAAGTGGTGTATTTGAGTTTTCTCTTTTGAATTGAGTTTTCTCTTTTGAATTGAGCAAGAAAAATTTCTTGCTGCCCCAGCAGCTTCCATTACTCCAGAGGATCCTTCAAAATTGATGGAACTATGTTGCTTGTGTTTTTCCTTCCATTGAAGAAATTGCTCACTGTCCTTTTGACTTTTCTCATGTACACTATGTTCCTTGCAAAATAATGACAAGACTTCATAATCTACAATCTCTCCCATCAAAACCCCAATCACAAAACTTTGAAAAATATCCTCTCTTCTGCCAGGATCCATCAACTGATACAGCTACAGGAACAGCATTATCTTCATCATCATCAGTAATTTCAGGATCTCCTCTTAGCATCAAGTTTAGCAATCGATTACCTGCATCTATCATTAAATTTTCTGCCTCTTCTACTGCAGCTAAAGCAGAGATCTTCAGATGCTTATTGTAAGCATTGTTGGTTACAGGTGGAGGCATGTTCATCATGCCACAAAACCTAGCCAAACTCTTTCTTCCACCCTTTAGAGTATTCACTGCCAATACTGATCTACGGTTCACTTCAAATGCACCCACCTTGATATTTTTGCTGGTGTTAAAGGAAACTACATTGAGTCATGATGAACACTTCAGGCTTAGTTTTAATGACAAACAATCTCTCTTTTCTTCGGCTGAGAATAAGGTGAATGTAGCCTTCTTTTTCAGGCAAATCTTGCAAGCAACGGCATCATTTGAAAAATTTTCAAGACAGGCAAGGTCTTTAATTGCACAACCATTGGCTGTTTTTGTTTTCCTTACAGGGCCTAACCCTTCAGTTTTTGCTTTTTCTCTTGTTACGTATCGAATGTTCTGCAAATCTTCTGTAAATGAGCTGTTCAGAAGCTTTCTATCCATTGCTGTAGTCAGATATCAGCACTGACAAGATTCACTGCTGCAGCAGTTGACAATCTTGGCCTAACACCATCGGTTGTTTCTTGACTCGTCGAATTCCTCAAAAACTGCTTTTGAACTCCTCTGTAACCTTTTCTCTACTTTTCTCTTGCTCCTTCCCCATTCTAAACTTACTTGGTGCCATTAACCAGATATTATCAATAGTAAAATCCGAAAACGTCTCTCGATACACGCTACAAATATGACAACAGAGATTAAAACCCAAAGGTTGCTATGGCTGCTAAGATCAATCCCTCACACAGGGTCCCAAGGCACATAAAAAGAAAACACAGAGACCCAGAACGTAAAATCTTGAAAAGGGAGGTCGGAGAAGAGGGGAAAACTAGTTTTTTAACCCTAGCAACCAGTTAATTTTCGTTGCTAGGGAATTTTTCTTATAGTTAGGGATGAGATTAGGGATGAAAAACTTTCGTTCTTAGGAACTTAATGTTCTTTATGCTGAAAATGGAAAGCAATATCAGATTCAGAAAAATATGTAATAAAAATTTTTTGCCCTAACTACTTTTAAAACTATAGTACCCTCTCATTTCAATTCTCTTCCTTGTTCCCTTACTACTGTGGTAGAAAAAAGTAAGGGCGTGGCATAAATTTGAAGGAAGGGCAACAATAGGAAGTTACCCATCTTCTGTTTTTTTTTAATTTTGTCTTCATGCTGTTGTAGCTCTACATCAATGGCATTTTAAAATTATTTCTTTATTCAAGGAAATGTGGTTAAGTTTGCTACATCATGTCTGTGGTCGACACAAATGGGCAAACAAATGTTGTAAGTATGATGAGATACTTGATGATGAAAAGGAAACACTAAAGAAAACTTCAAAGGAAATAACTGCATTGCTTGAAATAATTCTTGATAAGAAGCTCTTTCAATCACTGCAGCATTATACTTACTTTCGTTAAGCTACAGAGTTTGCACCTTTACCATTGTGTTAATAATAAAAATGTAAAGAAAATACCTTTTGCCATTTTATTGCCAAACCTGGCAACTTCAAGAATGAATATCATCAGATGTTGATCTTATTTTTGGGTAGTCATGTACACTGTTGCTATTTTCATTTTGTTCTCAGTGTTGTTATCTAGAGCTATTTGATGTAGGGTTTGATGCTACTAGATAATTCGTTGGTTATCTACTTTCCTTGCACATTTTAAATGTACAATCACATTGTTGGATGAAGAACTTTTGTGAAATGCTCATTGAGTATATTCCAATTTCTCGAAATGTTTCTAGGCACACTAGTCCAGTTGACAACTTTAAGAGTTTGTTGCTCAATTATGTACCAAAGAGGAATGCATTCGAGTCAGCAAAATTTTTCCAGCATATATATTTTCTCAGTAAGTGGGCTAGGAGTTGCATTTATTGCCTATGTGTAAAAAATTTTGTTGTTTAAAGATGCTGGATCAGATGCCAACACAATGCATTTGTATTTGTTGTAATTTTAAGAAATGATCCACAGAAAGAAAGCTTAAAAACCTATTTGAAAGGAGATTTGGTGCAAAAGTGTAGCATATAAAGTAGCACATCTGCCAAATATTAAGACTAAGACAGTTGGAAAATTTCCAAATCACCAACTTTTTTACAAACAAGAGTTATAAGAAAAGTATTCTTCAGAAAGAGCATACTGATAATCAATAAGGCCTGTACTGCATATGATTTAAAATATTTTCATCGAAATTTCAGATACCCATATTACATCACACAGTGTTATGTAGCTGGTATTGACCACAATTTCCACATTAGCAGACAACAAGCCAAAACTAAAACTGGGAAGCCAATTTACACGAGAAAGTATTGCAAACGTACCAGACACTGGCATCCTCAACCTGTGAAAGAGGCGAAGGATCAATATATTTGCCTCACCTTATGGCCAAAGTTTTATATCAGCGTTATGCTGATGAGGAATCATCATCAAGAAGTGCAGAAAGGCTCCCTACAGACCCCAAAAGAATAGCTCCCACAATTGGAGGTCTTGGAGACCCACCAACAACAGTTGATCTTGTTGAAAGCAGAAAATGAAAATTTAAAAAAATAGCCACTGATCAAATAAATATATTGACCGAGTTACATTTTTAAAACAAGGATGGAGTGGTATCAAAAGTATTAGTCTAATACAAGTTTTATTAGGAAACTTCAATGCTCTAAAACACAAAACAATTATTATGCCTTTTGTATGCTACCATATTCTTACAAAATTTTTTGCTTTTCCCTCCATTCAATGAAAGATTCTGTAATCCCACTAAAATTGTTTAAATGTGCCATTGTTCACTCCTTGCACTGTTCAACAACTGTAGCCTTGATGTTAAACTGTGAATAATAGGTGATAAAAGTTTATCATTTCTAACAGCTCAAGGGCAACTGTCAACCAAAGAGATGGTGGACAGAGCATCAGATTAGCATAAAAACATTTCTGGAGATTACCTTTGCTGGAAATGTTTTTTAACAACAGCTGTTATTATGCTAAATGATAAAAATCTGAAAGAGTGTTATAAATATGAGTATGTGTTATACTGTTTAACATAAGCCTTAAGACTTAATTTAAAATGAGTATATTATAAGTCTTTATGACTCCTTGTAGCCCATATATTCATTCCTTTGGGAAGGATAGGCTTCTCTGATCATTCTCACAACACATGCTGGGTTAGATTTCTGTTACCCCTGCCCAACCTTCCATACTTCCACATGGTAAACTGACGGTAGGCAGCCTTTCTCATTGCATTCAAAGTCCTCTGCCCATGTATCACAGTTGTATTTAATTGCCAGTTCCAAAACATCCCGATTTATAATACACTGTGCAAACATCTGGTATGAAGTAACACATGTGCGTTTTCTACAACAATGGTTTTTCTTCTGCCTTGGGCAATGGCCTGCACACCTTGCAAACACACCAGTCAGGAGCATCACTATTACCTTCAGGCTGCTGATTTTCATTTTTAATGAAATCTACCATATTCTTTATATAATTGAAGCTTCCATTTCCTGTGCATGCAGTCTTCATCACAAGCTTTTCTATGACTACTTTTTCTTGGTTCTCTAGGTATTGCTTGTGAAAGAAAATAAATGTAATCGCTGACTATTTCCAAGCACGATGCCAATTGATACATATCGCTAACAGTTCTTTAGCCCGATGCAAAATGAAGTTTTAATGGAATATCTCAAAAGTCTAGCTTGCAAAGGAGGGCACAGTTAATTTTGGCCATACTACTGTTTTTTCTCTTATGGTACATAATAAAAATGATTAAAACGGAAATTTTTCATTTTGAATTCCAGTTAAAACTAAAATTACCAATCTCACTATCACATAGGTAAAAATAATAATAATTTGACCAGTGAAAGTGAAATGAATAATAATTTATTCATTTCATTTTGAAAAATATAACAATCTTGCAGTTAAAAAAACCATTACAAAGTGCAAAAACTTGTACACAATATAAATATAAGTACAAATGATAAGAATAATATTGTAGTTTTTTATGGAATTGTGATAATGAATATGATCTACCTTGACTTCCTCTTTTGACTTTTTTTGCTCTTTTCGCAACAGTTCAAAGCCATCACCCTCTGGCTTTCTTTGCAGATGTTCTTTGCAACTTCCCTGTTCTTGTACCTATGCGTTCCAAACAAAAAATTATTCATGAACAGCAAAAGGTCATTCAAAAACTTGCTGTCATTTGTTTTGTAATTGATAAATAAAACGTTAAACTTGATGACATTGAAATTTTTGATGACACTTCTGCATAATTAACTGTTTAGGCTAAATAGCCTTTCATAACAGACACAAAACCTTTGTATTAGACTTTGGTAATAGTCACACATGACTGTAAACTGAGTTTAATTAATAGTTTTGCATGTTTGGGACAAACTTTTTTGTGTCTGTAACACGTAGTAACTTCAACTGGCAAGTAGTGTAACTTGAAGATGCAATCATAGGTCAGAAAATTACAAGAAAAAATCACTTTTCCACACTGACAATTGTGTACTTTTCCATTTGTGCAAGGTCTAATGATGGACCAATGTGCCTTTTCCCACACTGACAATCGGCACAACAACTTAGGTTAGCATCCCTGCAGGGGCAACCAGGTTTCTTGCTATTTTTACGTCTACAAATTGTATTACAGATGCAGGTCTGAAAGAATGAGCAGTTAACAATATATATTAGACAACACCATAATTATTTTACCAAGAACACTTTTCTTGACTTACACTACCAGGACAAAAGTATTGCAACACCCGCTAAGGCAATTAATGGTGGATCACACAATAACTTTTGTTGTTGCCTAATTAAGCTATTGTTTAATCAGCCATTTTCATTTTTGAAAATTTTAAATCAATAATCCAAGTTACTTTTAATTAAACAAACATTTTGTGGAGGTGCTTCTGGCTCCGATAAGTGTGGAAAATTGCTTTGGAATTGATACACAAAACTTGTTGATGTAATACACTGGGATTATTCCTCATTGTCAATAAACTCTTCAAGTCAGTTCTTATTTGGGCCTCAGAGAACCTTGTGGATTTCAAATCAGATCATTTTCATTGGCAACAAGAAATATTCACTTATTTTAAGGATAGATCTTTGAGATGACAGAGAAAGGACATAGAGCTACCAGATTTTCAGGTAAATTTGAGTAGAATGGCCTTGTAAGGGAGATGTACTGCATTTTATGATAAAAACTGCCTCCCTCATTTCCCTAGCTTTGATTTGATTCCACCAAATTATATATTTGCTTTGATTAGACTGTTTCACATTATTTGAACATATTTCGTGGTATTAGCTGGCACTTTGCTAGTTGACGATTTACCAATTTATATGGGCCTAATTGTACCCAAAAAATTACCCAAGTTGAATAGGAGGATTTTGGGGCTAAATAAGTTGGGACTAATGACTTCATTTGCTGTTTCCTAGACTCTCACTATTTTGCTATCACTTTCTATAAAAAGTTGCAAAATCTTTAGAGAAAGCTTTAGGCTACATTTGCTACTTGGAAATTTTTTAAATGTTCTTCTATCTTTTCTTAAAAAGGAACAATATGTTTATCTACCAAAGAAATTTTTTCCAAGTTCCGAAGAAAAATACAGGCACATGTTTATATTCAGCTTGATGAAGAAGGAACATTTGAAGCATGATATTAGTAGCATTGAACACACTGAAAAGCATTGATCACTGAGCTAAATAACTTAAAAGCACTGAAAAGCACTGACACACTGAAGAGCAATGATTACTGATGCTATCTTACTGGTGAGAAAGCATCTAAACGGAAATGTGTGTTCAAACTTTCAAGATTATTTTACAATCAACAACAGCAATATGAGTACAAGAAACAGAAATATTCTTTTGCAAATTGGAAAAGTTAAATTAGAGTTTGCTATGTACAAAAAATTAATGACTTTTCCTCCGCCGCAAGATGCAGAAAACACTGAACAAACAATTCAGTGTGGTGTGACCATGAATATTTCATATCATCAAGTTGATTTGACTGCAGCCAAAAAATTACTCCAATGGCAACAGAGGAGCTATATGAACTGCATGGATTCAAATCGAACCCTGTTTGTCTGTGGATGGTATGCTGCAGTGCTACCATTACCATCCACAGTGATATGTAAGGAAAATGTGGTCGATGTTCTTGAAGATCTTCACTACACTCAAACAATTGGTAGAGAAACGTGTTGTGTCCCTGGTGGCATAAATGCATTGAGGAAGATTTTCACTTCTAAATACTATTTCAAGGAAATTCCGTCTTTCTTAAAAGGATGCAAATCTTGTTTTAATAACACACCTCTTTCCTCAACACAGATTGCGCCTCTTAAGCCTATTCGCTCTTTTCGTCCACATGAAAGACTTCAGTATGATCTTATTGACATGGCTCCAGCTAAGAGATCTTTCATGAAAAAAAATCCTTGGGGATTCTGTTACATTCTATCCATAAAATGCTGTTTTAGTAAATTCTGTTGGCTCTTCCCTTTGCAATATAAAACAGCTGAAATGGTGTACAGGGTGATAAAATTTCTTTTTGACGTCAAGGATGCACCTGACATTCTTCAGTCTGATAATGGCAAAGAATTTGTAAATAATTTAATTAGGCAGTTCAGTAAGGATTATAATTTCAGAATGGTGTGGGGAAAACCTTATACACCAAGACATCAAGGGCAAGTTGAGAACTTGAACAAAACAGTTAAGGCATACCTTATTATTGCAAAATTCACCACATGAAGAACAGGCAAAAATGTGGCCAGTTACTTCCTGGTATTGCAGATAAAATAAAAAAATCTTATAATTTTAGAATTGATGACATCCCCTTCAGAGTGTATAGAAATCGTGACTGGAACACCATTGGCTTCACTGTTACACCTGAAGACAGCATCCTTAAATCTTCCTATGTTGATGCTGCGCAAGCTGACGATGAATCTGCAACAAGTTCTGTTAGTGGAGATGAATGTAGTTTTGGTACAGGTGAAGATGATAGTTTTCAAAAATAAGTTTTAGATTGTTCCTCGTCTTTTGATGTTTCCTCTGTGAAAACCATTCCAGCAACTGATATAATGCAGTCATGTCTTGGTTCCTCTTTGTCCAAAACACTTTTTGTAGACCGTTCCAATGATAATAGTAATGATTCAGGCGAGATAGAGGCAAGAGAAACTGAATGTAGCCAGTAATCAGATTTTGAAAGTCGTAACTTTTCTTCTTGTCTGTTTAATTTGTCAAAAAAAGGTTCCTGAATCACCTCAAGTTTTTTGAGGCCACTGAAATAACTATCCACCGTAACATTGAGAGGGATCTAAAAAATTCCCCTGGTGACAAGTTTGATGTTGGTGACAAAGTTTTGGTTAAGAACCCAGACATAAATTTGGTCGAGCAGGAACAAAGCAATATGACGACGAGAATCCAATGTCAAATAAAATTTTCAAAATAAATTAAATTTATAGAATTACATCTATATTACATATAAAGAGAAACCATGACCCATATTTTGCCATTAAATGTCATTGCCGAAGTTGATGAGGTATTGCCCTCTTCCATGTATAAGATTA